GTCAGTGCGTAAATGTGTGCCACGTAATGTTATATTGATACGCGACTCCAATGATAACGCTTAGTGGAAAGGTCAATAAGTTCACCAAACATCAGGGTTTGCCACTTGAATACACGATCGAATTTGCTTTTCCATTAAATTCAAACGTTAATTGCTGTAGTAATTAATTAATTGTACATTAGAAAGAGGGGAAATAATTTTGTTTTTTCTCGTCTAGTGACGTTATTAATAAAAACGCAATATAATTTCATTCTCTTCCTTGAAAGAGAGAGAGAGAGAGAGAGAGAGAGAGAGGAAGAGAGCCAAGAAATAAAAAATTTCTCAACATCAATACAATAAAATTTAAGTAAAAAAAAAAATAATATATATTAGCTATTACTCAAGAATGTATTATTTACGTTAATTTATACTTTTTATCATAAATTTGCAACTGAGTTATTTAAAAAAAAATAATTCATTATAATATAATATAAATAAAATTAGAATAAATTCAATTCGTTTTAGCAAACAGGAATTCTCAAAACTTAATAAATTTATGACTATTCTTTAACATCTAAAAAATTATCATATAAAATATGCATATGCATTTTTCTTACAGTCACAATTGCACGGAAAAGAACTGTCAGTAAGAACAATTAAACTGACCAAGGCAATTCTGAGATAGTATTATTCAGTGAACAATAATATTGTTTAGTGAGAGACAGTATTGTTCAGTGAGACGATCTGCGATGGAAGGAAACAGAGAATAATTTTCAGGAAAAACAGAAAATCCGAATGAAACTTACAATGCCGCGATCGATCTTCCGTGACCCTTTAACAACAAACAGCCCTAGGAAAACAGTCCTGCACCATTCGTTCATATTATCTGCGTTATTCGCGTTTTACCCTTCTTACTGCTTTCCGCTATCTAAGACAAATGGATATAGCTATGCTAAAACCCGATCGACGTCAATTTTCCAAAAGGCCGAATAAACTTACGCAGTTCATTTGAACGCGAAATACACATGTGATATTATTTCTTCTGAAACTCGATTCGCTTTTTTTGTTCAATATTAAAAGTTCCACGAATGAATAAAGGTAAATAATTGTATCCAGCTTGGTCTTGGGTCTATTCACCACGAGTTGAAAATACCCAACGTTCTCGAAACAGAATGGCTTGATGTTTACTAATAAATGCAACTCGACGCGTATCACGTCATGAGTAGCTCGGACATTATGCCAGCTGCCGCACTGCGTGCATGCTTGTATACGGCTGTCTTCACGTGTCATGAATGAAACAACCGTGTACGCGCGTGTAATTACCTCATTTTTTCGCGTATAGTCGATTAAATTCTACCCTCAAGTAATTTCGACTTATTTTACGAGAAGATAAATTTATCGTCATACTTATTTTCCGACGTACAACACCGGCGGGATTAAAGATTGTGAAGTTAAGTTTTCATGTCATCCCCGAAAGTTCGCTGGGAAAACGATCTACTAGACCGCATGTGGCGCCGGGGACAATGACGATAAATAAGCGCTCGTGAAATTTTATAGTTTATTTGGTACATGCAGGAAGCCGAACACGGTAGGACAATATCGAAGGCTGCGCGTATATATGCACGTGTGGGCGTTCAAGTTCCATTCAACCGATGACGAACGTATATGTCAATCGCTGGAACCGTGTCCCAGTCGCAGGATAAATGGTTGTGCGTGTTAATATGATTTTGTCACGAGCAGGCATTCGCGCTGCCATCGCGACTGCGAAAGGGATCTCGATTCGCGGGGTGATCGACCGCGGCGCAAGTCTTGGCACAAGTCAAAATACCACAGTCCAGAAGTGGCTGAACCTTTGATAATGCATGCCAAATTTTGGCGAGCGCACTTGGCACCCGAAATAGCCCTACTCTTAATAAAATCAGTACAAGTACAGACTCTCGAACTGTCCAGTATATATAGAAGATGTTATTAGAAGACGCACACGCACCTTATTATCATTCTGATAGTTATTTATATCTATAAACTCCTTTTTCTTTTCCCTATTTTACGCGTGATATTATATACGAGCTAGAAATCTAGAAGAGCTAACAAAGAGCCAAGGTAATCGCTTCGTACACGTTCTTGAAATTTAGAAGGACGCAAGTCTGGGGAGACGACGTGTTCTCTTATGGATTAAGTAATTTGGAGCAACTTCTCATAATTACGTAACTCGCTGGTGCAAATTGAGGCATAACTTCGCATACTTAATTGTAGCTCTAATCTATTCTAATCTAATCCAAGTCGCTCTCGCACAATTTCGAGTTATGGATGGGAGAACGGCTTGTAAATTAGCGAGTATAAATTTCATTACGTAAAGCGACATAATACTAATTATCCGTACGACGGTTCTAGATTCTAGTTGACAAATTGCGACCCGAATTTTGCATCAGTGCAACAACTACGATTTATTCTCTAATCGAAATGTATATCTAATATCGTAAAACAGAGAACATTTCATGCTTGTTGATATTGCAATACGAGAAGTATATTTCACGTTATTATAATAAATGATACTCGCGTTATAATAACAATTTGATAAATTACCTCGTATGTTATGCACAATATTATATATATAAAATCAGCGTGTTGAATTTTGGTCAGATATTTAATCGGTTTATAATTTATATAAAACATATATGTCTTTTTGCCGAAGTTCAACGAATTGTAGATCGTTGCAGAAAAAAACTCGCGAAAAGTCCGAGTTTGTCCGATGAAGCGTCCGCGTTTTTACGCGATAGCACAAACGTGCACAACTGCCGTTGTCGCACGCGATCACGCGAGAGTAGCCAATCGAAACGGATACCGTGGCAGAGGCCACCGCACTCCGTCATTATTCACATTACATTAAGCATTTGTTATGTTTAACGTTACATTTACCTCGGGGTTCGTCCGCTTCTCGAATTCGATGTAACATGTGAATGCGTCACTTGATCAGGTACCAGTACCAGAATCGCGACCATGCATTTACATTAAATAATAGCTTTATCGCAATAAACACTTCAAAAGTGTTATTAAATCTTCTGTTTTGATATTACAATCCTAACAATGTCACACGATCGAATCTCTGAGATCTGTACTTACAGTCGTGTAATTTTGTCGAATAATTCAGTTAAAACCCGTCTTGAGATATAATTTAGTGTAATAGATCGTGCGAGGCTATTTATATCGCATTTGTAATCGCGATTTAATTGAAGTATTTATAGTTTGCAACAACTCAATCTTGTTTATGGACTTTATCTTGTTAATTTACTTTTATACACTGTTAAATCTATAATGTCAAATTTAACTATTTAAATCGCCATTGCTCCTACTTAATACATAGTTATTTTTAACTAAAACAATAGAATTATTTTTTAACGATACAAAGTAATTTAACCCAAATTTGGGTTAAATTTGAACTGTTTTAAATTATTTAACTCTATTGTTTTAGTTAGAAATAACTATATATTAAATAGGAGTAGTAGCGACTCAAATAGCGACTTAAATTTGACACTGTATCATAGATTTAACAGTGTATCACTGGAAAGAAAGATGTATTTAATGACATGAAATCTAATAAATTATCTCATCGCACATATTGTAATCTCAAAGTGTTTCACAACAGCGGAAGTGTTTCACCTACAGTATTTTAATCGGCCTCAAATTTTACAAAAATAATGTTGTATTTCACGATTAACTAAGCGTATTCTCAATAAGCGTAGTCTTTAAAAATGTGTAACTACTGTCTGTATCTTAAGATAAAGCTTCATTCTAAAAGCCTTATCCAATATACTTTTCAATACAATTGAATTCAAGAACACAATGACTATAAGTGCAGATCTAAAAGTCAAAAGGGTAGACAAATTCAAATTGAATTAAGTTTCACGGGTCACGATACAATACTAGTATCGACAAATAAAAGTTTCGAACATCAGAGGGATGGAGACAATCGATTTTTTTCCCCCTACGCTGCGTATTCCATATTATTCCACGCGTTCCGCGTGGAAGTTGATACCGTAATGGGAGCATGGGGTCGCGACATATGTCGCTTGGGATTTAAAGTACAACGAAGCTTATTTTCATGTAAATAAGAACACATGTAGAACGTTAGAAAAATACCTTCTAAAAGGGAAACTTATTCGATTAGTGATATGCGATAGCATAACACAACTAATTTTAAATACAGTCTGCCATTTTCTGAAAGAGATATGGTAATAACGTATAATTTATTCTTCTTTTCAATATACCGTGTTTCGTATTAAAAGTGGAATGATATATCTGAATAAGTGCTGCAGAAATTATTTTTGTTCACGGAAGCACGATGTAAAAACTGCAACAAGTTTACGCAACCGTGCCCGCTCGGAACATAATACGTTTAAACACATGTTAAAAATCTGGAGATGAAAATCCCAGAAGCGTAAATACGGAATGCTTTTAAAAATTACATGCAAACCGCAACGAGAAATTTAGTGAAAACATATGTATATGTCATGACGTATGTAAATTAACTTTTTATTTTGCGAATAAGCATATTTTTCTCTTGATCTTTCGAGAAATTCGATTGGAATATTACGTAAATTATTAAAAATTAATTATGCGCCAAAATTTATTTATATAAACTATGCATGTATTTGAAAATTTGAAATGGAACATTTGAACAATAGACAATCTACGCGCCATTTAAATATTCGAATTTGTATTTCGTCACGTGATGTATTACTTGAGAAGCACCATTTTATTGTAAAAATTTCGCGTTTTGATCGCGATATTCTTAAAGATAACTGTTATTCGCTGTTATGCGTGCACTTTGTCACATAAAAATATGAGAACAGAAACTTTGACTTACAAAAAAAAACGCAAGCAATGAGTTGCACTCTGAAGTCGCCTGCGGAAAGCGTCATTCGTGCATTGCGAATGTTACGCCGACGACCAACTTATTCGATCATTGGGCTGATCCGAAATTTCACGTCACGACGATCAGCTGATAGTGAATGATATCTTACCTTGGTGTCCCTGGATGTGTGGTAATAGTAAACAAAGGCGAACATCCACGCGCATGACAGGAGCAACGCGATCTTGACATTCCGCCGCATGACTGCTGCGGTTCGCACTTATTTCGCGTCCCACGTCCCCCGCCCGTCCGGCCGGCCGATGCCCGATGACACGTCTTCTAGCCGCAAACCGCGAATCTCCTTCTCTCTCTCACGAAACGTAGCACGCACACCCGCGACCGAGAACGCGGTGCAATGCCACGGAACACCACTAATGCACACCTACCGGCAGCCGAAGCCATACTGCCGAGGCGCCGAGGCCGACCGAATGCGGCGACTACAGTGCTCGACGCAGGCTTCTCCCGCGGCCATCGCCACCTGTTGGCGGCACACCGAACTCAGACACACCCACACACTAAGAGGCGCCAGATTTCGGAAAAAATATTGAATAAATTGGAAAGAACAATAAAATTCAATTTTAAAGTGGACGAATAAATTCATCCGAATAAAACTTTGATATACTTTTATGTGAAAACAATTGTGCTTGTAAATGAAAGAATAATTTCTTAATATAACTTATATTTGTTAAAATATGTGTAATTATATATAACTAAAAAAAGTTTAAATCCATAATTTTCAGATAAGCGGAAATAAAAACTGTAAAAGTTCTTATTCAAGATATTTACGTATATATTAATGTATAAATTTATGTATTTTTAAAATATTTCAAATATTTGTTAAGCAAATATGTATGTACCTTAGAATAATTTCAATCTGTTAAATATTATTCAGTCTTGAAAAATGAGTTAATTATAAATATCAAAAAATAAAAAAGTTATTTTATCATATTTATTCAGATAATGACGATATTATAGAAACATGCATATTATTAAGTTAATGATATATTAAAACAACGAGTTTCCATTTCAGCTATAAAAGAATATAAACTTAAACAGATGTTTTAATCAAATAATGTATTAATATATAATTATGTCATATGTGCAATCTAATACCTTTGGAGAGTATAATTTTTAAAATAATATTTGTGAGTATAAACAATTTGAATAATTAACATGCATGCTGAAAGTTTAATAAATCAGATTAAATTCACTCACACACACAGCAATGAAGATCTGAAATGGGATATATTGAAATTATCGCGGATATACGAAATATATTTTAATTTCCTTGGAGTAAATAGAGTAAATTATAAAAATTATAGAAATACTTTTGTATAAGCTATTCAGGAAACATCTTACCTTGAACAAAATAAATGTGAACACAGTAAATCGGAGAGATGTCCTACAGACATCTGAAATAAGTAATTAATATATCTTCCAGACGCGTCTCTTATATATAATAAGACGTCTTTTATTATTATATAGGATCTACGGAATAATAGGTATAAACAGATTATTAAGAAAATTTGAATAATATGGTACCAAAATCACTTACAAAGCGCTTATTGAATTCTTGCATTTACTGGGCATAATTAGTATTTTTTTTAAATATAAAAATGTACATTAATTAGATGCAAGAACTTTTTAAATGGGTGCAGTATATACGTACCTACATTACACTAGATGCATGTAACCTCTTCCCTTTCATTTCTATCTACGAAATTATATAATCTTGAGGTTGAAGGTAAAAGCGCATGCCCACCCTCCCCCCCTCCGCAGGACAACAATAAAAATTTTTATCTAAATATTCTGCATTTGTATCGTGGATTGAGTGAATATCGGAACGCAGTCTTAGATTGATTATTATTGTAGCTTTTCGTAAATATACATATACTTATTAAATATCAATAAAACGTATATTTATTTTATATCTTATTATAGGTATACATAAAAATGTATACAAGTGGTGTAGGTATATAAGTGAATAAAATAAATTATACAAGAGCTAATTGCGTTGCACGCTAATTTCGTCTTAACGTGCTTTTGTACTGAAAACGTCATTCTACTTTTATATAGACTTATACTGTCAGTATCAATAAATATTGACAATATTATTGATTGCGCGTAGTTAATATTAATGAATTGATGTAGAATATTGACGGTAATCCAGATTTCTTGATTCTCGAGCCTATCATGCAGTATCGCTATGTGGTAGGGATAAGCTTGCCGCCTCCCATTTTTATTTGGGAGAGTGTCTCATTTATATTTGTTGGTATTCACAGTATTATTATTGGTCGTGTAAAATTTGTATTATTTCTAATTGCATGCTGAAGAAAGATAGAACAATGCTTTCAGTACAAAAGCAAGACGAGCATTACCATAATTTAGTGTACATGTGTACATTATGCAACAATAAATTATTTTAACTTTTGGTACGATTTGACTATATTTATTGTGGACATCCTCAATCGAAATTACAATTTAAAAAATGATAAACTCGATGCAAATTATAATTTTGAATGAGAATGATTATAATTAATAGTTTCTCCTGCATCAGAGGATTTTAGCCATTTTCCTTATCACACTGGCTAGTGCGGGTTTGATAGCAGAATTAATTGATTTTGCTTGGGTGGTATATGCACAGGGATACTCTCAATGATTTTGTCATTATCTTTCCGAGAGGTGGCGATTGAATAAAATCACATGTTTTTGTTTTGTTATTGATATGATCAGATTTGAACCCGGATCCTCGGCAGAGCAGACATACAACTCTCTGCGTCACGATCGCCTGGCATTGATTAATTATTGATAACAAATCTTTTATATAAATCTTTTAAATAATTTTATTTTTTAATTAATTTTGTAATACCATTATGAAATAAAAACTATTCCTTGGGTTATATATAAATATATATATTTATATGTATTACTTATTGTTAGATTAATTTAATTTTTTCAAAATTAAAAACAGTACCATTTGGTTTTATTTACTTTTTTATTTTTTAATGGTACATTTAATTCAGATTTTACTTTTTAATTTATTACAACAGTTTTTTCTTTGAGCTCGAGCGCGTGAACTTGTCATCTTTTTTTACCTTTTTTTAAAACGTAATTCGTAGATATCTCAGGAACGGTTTAAGAATATATTTCACTTACAACTTGTGATATCTCTACGTGTTTGTAAGTGCGGATACATTAGTATATCCTATTAACATCTCTGATATATCCGAATTTTTATGGAATATATTTGCAATATCCCAATAGGATAGCCTAACAAAATTTGAAAGATTTCTTTTGCTGTGTAAGAGAATAAATTTATTGTTAATCAAATACTGTTACATGGTAAACAACAATTTTATATATCAAATTTTATATAACAAATAATTTTATATATCATAATAGTTTATTGAGCGCCGTGATTTGCTTCTTATGTTATATATCTCTTGCTCGATACATGTAATCTATAGCGGCTGTAAACCGATATTGGGTGGATTTCGATAAATCTCTCAAATACGCCCATCCGAAGATGCAGACGCCCGCAATGCCGATCTCACGGATCAGTCTGTCACGACCTGTCTTTTCGGTAAAAGTTCCGCGAGAATCCGACAAGGTATAACAGAATAATATTTGGTTTACTGAGTTTCAAGCCGCTGTTGGTATGGCTTCTGCATCGATGTGGTTCCTGTTGTTATATCTCAATTTATGCGCGGCATGGATGGATAAGAGGTATGTTTCCTAATAAAAATATAACGTACGTTGTCCAATACCACGTTTGCATTTGTATAACTTTGATTAATATCTATATAAATAAAAAGTAAAAAGTATTTGTCATACATTTAATATTTTACGCGACATAATTGATAAACATAGTGCCTTGAAAATAAATATTAACAGATTACAATGATAAAAAATATAACTCAAGATACAATCGGATAAAGGGCCTGCGGTATTAAGCTTCTTTAATTTTATAAACTTTTTTCCGCAATTAAATAGACTTATATATATGTATAAATAATTTGCACAAAATTCAGACCAGTTTTGGAGTCTCGAGATGGACACCTCGTAATCTCCAGCGCGAAGGACAGAAATATCACACTGAAGATAATGGGGAGCGGTTACGTGAACGTCAATGAGATCAATCTGCTTCACGTAGCCTCGGCGGTGATGAATAAATATCTATATGTTCAGCATAATTGAAACGTAATTAGTTTAAACGTGTAGATTTCGATTTTCAGGCGCAAAATGCGACGCGGGTCATCGACAGGTGGCGGATGGGATATTTGGCCGATATGGAGAATTCCCTTCAGCAACTAACGACTATAGTGACAGGCACTACAGGCTTACAGAGAAGAGTCGCTCTGCTCGAGAGAAGTATCGACATGAACAATGCGAGTCGCACAGGAAACAGATCACGTATACCGGTAAGAATGCGCAATATTGAATCAACAGCTTGCGATGACATATTTTTCTCTCCATCCTCGTACCAAATTATACCAGTGTGTAAATAAAAAGAAAAATACAAGAGCCATGTAGAACGATATAAGAAAGAGATTGTATAATAATAATGTAAATAACGTTAACAATTTTTATAGTATTAAATTATTATTTATCTCTTACTTATAATTCAGCATTTTTTAACGATAAAAAGTTATATAAATTGTGTGCATCAAAATAAAATAAAAAAATTATGCAGAATTAAATGTATTAAGTTATTCATTGAATAATCTCTTTTCAGAATTATATTCCAATGCCGAGTATAACCAAAAGCAACATTCGTCGTATCAACGTCCGAGTATGTATTAATCGCGAATTTATTTAAAGTGAATATATATATGTATAAGAATAATGACTTGTGCGATAAAATTAAAAATGTGCAAATGTATTTTTTAAGCTCAAGGCATTAGAGGACTCACTGAGAGCTATGCAAACACTGCTCCGAGAGAACGAGTGTCAGAGTAACCCGTGTCAAAATGGTGGCACTTGTGAAGATCTCTATGATGCCTATCAATGTCATTGTCCGTCAAATTGGGAGGTATGCGAGTGCACTTCGACAAGACTGACAATGAGTGTATTTCGTGAGAATATAATTATGATGATTTCAGGGCCCGAATTGTATGACGGACGTCAATGAGTGCGCGAGATTTCTTGGCACGGATCTCGGATGTCAAAACGGAGCGACCTGTCGTAATTTGCCTGGATCTTATCGGTATGCAATTTCAACAGTATAACATGTATTTTTTGAATTTAATTTATGAAGTCACATAAAAGACTTTTCACCGAAATGATTCAATAATTTTAAATTTTATTCTAAAATTCTATTCCTTCGAAAATAATTCTGCCGAGTTTCGCAAATGGCCTTTATGGCAATGATTTCTCGGATGTACTGTGCGGAATATGTCTGTGTATAATATCGGTTCGGATATTAGATGCGACTGCTTGCCGGGATGGTTTGGCCTTCATTGTACGCAGAAAACATCGATTTGCAATACAGAGAATTCTGAAGCGCTTTGCGGCGAGCATGGTGTATGCGTTGCCAAAAGCAGCACTTCACTTGGATATACGTGCATCTGTGATCAAGTATGCTCTAATTTTTTTTTCCTTTAACGCTGTTTTTAAATCATCCAGCTGTATCAAGAGCGAGGCTTATCGTATAAACTGCTCTTACAGCTTGTTTGTAGCGGAATACGCTGATCCTTTTCTTTATCGTTCTTAGGGATGGGAAAGCGACGGCACAAGCCCAGCTTGCACCAAGGATGTAGACGAATGTGCAGCGGCCCATCCACCTTGCTCCGTAAATCCACCGGTACCGTGTCGCAATACACGCGGCTCATTCACTTGCGGTGCTTGTCCGCACGGCTACAGCGGAAACGGCTATTATTGCACCGACATTGATGAGTGTCTTATTAACAATGGCGGCTGCAGTACCACTCCTTACGTACAATGCATTAACACAATGGTAACACATTATACAATATATGGTACTAATTGTAAGTAAAATTACGTGATTGTATCCAAAAAAACGCAATATTCAATAATGTTTTGCCTATTTTTAGATACGCGCCATGAAAAGTGTCTTTTATTAAAAATAAATATGTAAACTAAAAACTAAAATTGCCAAATAGAACAACGCGTTATAATTCGCTGCAACAGCATTCCTATCATTTTCATGACTTTAATTACAGGGTTCCAGAACATGTGGGGCTTGTCCTCTAGGATACCGCGGCGACGGAGTGAGTTGCATTTTTGTCGGTGGTTGCGCCATCAACAACGGCGGATGCCATCCATTAGCTACCTGTACCGAGAATCCATCGCTTACAAGTTCTTATGTGCTGTGCCGTTGCCCACCGGATTACGTCGGTAATGGAATGGGACCAAACGGCTGCCAATTAACTGATGTATCACTTAATACAGCGTGTTCTCGCAACCCCTGCGTTCATGGCACATGCGTGCCAAACGGTGCAAATGGCTTCACTTGCACATGCAACTCGGGATACTCAGGTATGTATTAGGGACGAAAGTGAGAGAGAGAGAGAGAGAGAGAGAAAGGTAGGGCGAAATAGATCCGTGAGTCAACTCGTGTAAACTGTAACGCTCTGCTTCTCATATGTGACGAATAATAAAATATGGAATTAATTCGTGCTTGACGAATGCACAATAATATAATTTATAATATAAATTATAAAGTTTAAACTGAGGTTTAAATTTACAAAGAGTAACTCCACTGTGTGTGGAAGAAACTCTCAATTTATTTAGTAAGAATTGAAGATAGTGAGAATTGCGCGCCTTATACATTTATATTATATACTGTGCTTTTAAATTTTTAAGGAACCACATGTAATATACCGATCGATCCGTGCTCGCCGAATCCTTGTCGAAATAGCGGAATTTGCACTGTTTTAAACGGGCAGGCAACGTGTCAATGTACAACTAGCTTCACAGGAGCCAGGTGCGAAATGCCACGACAAACGTGCGGCGGTGTGTTACGGAATCCCATGGGAACACTTCAGTATCCCATGGGCGGTAGCACTTACCAGCATGGATTGAGTTGCGCCTGGGTGTTAATCACGGAACCCTCCAAGGTTCTGAATGTCACCTTTACGGCTTTTAATCTCGAGCAATCCACAGATTGCAAGTTTGACTTTCTACAGGTGCGAATGTTAATGTTGTATATTAAAAAGGCAATTAAAAAATTATTTGTCGCTTTTTTACTGAAGTTATTGTATCAGTAATGAGCTATTAATTTTGCCAGTTTTTTTAGAAACTTATCTGTGTTGAGGGTAAATTCTTATAGTCTCTTGCTTTAAGAATTTGTGTATTTTTTTATTTCACTAAAGAGCTTTTTTTAATACTGCCTCTAATAATTTCTAAATTTCTATTCCTTAAATTTTTTAATGTAAAGAATTAAAGTATGAAAAAAATGATAGGATTGAGAAAAATCATTCTAGTTCTTAATGCACGTATACACTTTTAGATTCACGATGGCAGAAATGCTGGTAGTCAAATGATCGATAGATTTTGCGGTTCCACGTTGCCTAACGAAAACGGGACAATCATCTCGTCTCATAACACTCTCTACTTGTGGTTCCATTCGGACAACAGTATAGCTCACGATGGATTTACTTTCCATTGGAACAGCGTCCATCCTGTTTGTGGAGATGTTTTAGAAAATAATTACGGTACCATTACGTCTCCAGGTTCACCTGGGAGATATCCTCCAAACAGAGATTGCTTCTGGAAAATCATTGTCGATCCGTCGAAAAGGATTCAATTCCATTTTGGTCAGCTGATGCTCGAGCAAAATTGCCTGAACGACTATTTGGAAGTAAATACTTTATGGGCCAATTATGATGCTCATAAATATTTTATATATATTTCTTTCGTTACTAAATTTTCTAAAAATCTAAAAATAATTACCTATGTGTTAATACTTGTTATTAATTTTTATTCCATATTTGGCGTCATAGATTAATGGTACAGAAGACGAACGTTTGGGACTTTTTTGTAATCACACTCGTCCACCGCCTCTGATTACGCCTGGTTCTGAAGCGACTGTTCATTTTCATTCTGACAGTTCTAATCAAGATGCTGGTTTCCAAATTCATTATTCAATGATTGAAGGTATTTGCTGAGATAGTTTATCTATACAATTTATAAGTGTATCAACATTATTTATTTAAAAGAAACGGGGATTAGTAATTTTATAATTTTGAAGATCACTACTAGTTTAAATAATTTGCCATATTTAGGTATACCTGGTTGTGGTGGAACTTATACCAGTGCCACTGGAATAATCACTTCACCAGGCCACACGTTTTCGTATCAGCCGAATATGGAATGTGAATGGAAGATACAATTGCCAGCAGGCGAACGAATTCGAGCGTCATGGTTGAAATTTGATCTCGAAACTTCCACTAATTGTCAGTTTGACTTTGTCGAGGTGATCTTTCAGCTTTCATTGCTCTAGCGTTTTATAGAAAGAAAATTTTAATGTTTACGATGTACTTTTGCAGATTTACGATGGATCTACCACAGAGTCTCCGTTACTTGGTAGATACTGCAGTTCGGACCTGCCGCCAGTGATCAAGTCAAATTCGAACATATTAACTGTATTTTTCAAATCCGATTTCTCTTACGAAGGGGAAGGTTTCACATTGTCGTACGAAACTTTATGCGGCGGCGAATTCCACGAGGATACTGGAATCATCAAGTCGCCCTTCTATCCGAGCGCTTATCATCACTCGCGAACGTGTATTTACGAGATCATACAGCCGCCCGGCAAAGGGATCGTACTAACTATAGAAGACATGGACATCGAAGGCAGAGATCAGAATTGCTATTACGATTACGTTGAGATTTTCGACGGTGATAATGAAAATGCGACGAAACTCGCCACTCTGTGCGGCGAAGTGGAAAGCATGCCAGATACTCCTTACTACTCCACGCATAATTTCATGTACATAAAGTTTACCACCGATAGCAGCATCGACGGTCGAGGTTTCAAAGCAAATTACACAACCATCAATCGTAGTAAGTAAGAGCATCGCTGCGGTTTTTTTTAAAAACTTTAGGTTTGGTATCTTTTAAACGCAAGAGATTTATTCTGCTCGCAATTAAATTCTTACGCAAAACCGAAGCTTTGAGAATAAAGCAAGCATTGATATTACCGTTTCTGATTAAGGATGTGGTGGATTACTGAAGATGCCAAACGGTATGATTCAGCCTCCTCTAGAAAACGGAGTTTATGTCGATAATGAGGAATGTATCTGGACTATTCAAGCACCGCCAGGATACGTAATACAACTTAGCTGGATATCATTTCATTTAGAAAACTATGGCCATTGTAATAATGATTACGTCAACCTTTACGAGAACTTTACCTCGCCTAACGAAAACATAATAGCCACGTATGACGACGTTAATAATCTCTTATTTCTAACAATTTAAATAAGAAAATGATATTAGTGCTGAAGCATTTGAATTATTGAAAAGTTATTAATTATACCATTTAATACCTGTTATACTATAATGATATATATGTAATTAACTCAACTCAACTTTTTTTTAACAGCCTTTTTAAACATATTACAACTATACGTTTTAGATATTGTGGTAATACTAAACCGCCCGAATTAACGACGCAGGATCGTACACTTACCATACTCTTTCACACTGATGTAAGTGTTACATACGAAGGATTCGTTGCTACATACATTTTCATGGATATGACGAAGGTCTGCGGCGGTCATTATTCAAAGCCAAACGGCGTTATTAGATCGCCCAATTATCCTAATCATTATCCGAGCAACAAGGAGTGCGTTTGGATTATCGAAGCGCAAAACAGACATAGAATTATTCTCACGGTCGAGCATTTTGAATTGGAAAGACAAATGACTTGCACATTCGATTACTTAGAAATTAGGTATTAGTATGATTTGAAAATTAATTTTGTTACTTTTTCAAATCACACGCTATTTTATATTTCTCATATTTCAGAAACGGTGGCTACGACTCATCGCCTTTAATCGGCACATTTTGTGGCACAGACATACCTACTGAAATACCAAGTCAAGCGAATCAAATGTATATTAAATTCGTTTCGGATTTCTCGAGATCAATGCAAGGTTTCGAAATACGGTGGGACAGCACGACGCAAGGTAGAAGTATACAGAAAGTCCTGATCATATTCCGTTCTTTCATTTCTTATATTTGTATATTTAACTTTAGGATGTGGTAGCACAATGACCGCAGTAACTGGGGATATTACATCTCCAAATTATCCTGAGCCTTATTCAATGAACGCGGATTGCTATTGGAAGATCGCTGTGGCAGCGGGTAGTTTAGTGCAGGTTACAATAGTGGATCTTGATCTTGAGCAACACGAAAAATGCCGGTATGACTTTATCGAAATATATGAAGGCATCAATCATCGCTCAAATGGAAGACGTTATTGCGGTAGCACGTATCCGAAGATTATTCAATCCAAATCCAATCAAATGACCGTCCGGTTTCGTAGTGATTTCAGTAATTCTGGCCGCGGTTTTCATCTGAACTACGAAACGCGTATGTATACCCACGTATTATTAACTCAAAATACTGTTTAATTTTAATGCACTAATATTATCTTAGAAAGTTACAAATTAAAATTATTTAAAAAATATGTTATATGTGGATTATAGTAGAAATTTTTACTTTTAAATATATTTAAATATCTTTTTTTATTAATTATTATATATTATTATTAATGTTCTTTTTTAAATTTAAAATATTTTGCTCACGTTTTGCAAAAATTTTTTAATTAATATATTTTAATTTTAATTACTTATTGCGGGATTATTTTACTGTTGAGTTGTTATTTTTATGATGCAGAATGCCAAAACAAATTACGTGGCTACTACGGTGTGATAGAGTCCCCGAATTTCCCCAATAGATACGAGCACTCAGCTAACTGCAGTTGGACTATCGAAGCCCCAATTGGTAACACGATTAATTTGACTTTCTCGCACTTTGATCTCGAAGGAAGAACAGAGCAGTTTCCGCCGTGCGAATACGACTATCTGCAAATCATGGAAGGGGAGAATGATACTCCCAACAACGATTTGGGAAAATTCTGTGGAACTATCGATCTCCCAATGAAAATTAATTCAACGCAACATCAAGTGTTTATAACGTTTGTTACGGACTCCTTTATTGCCTTCAACGGTTTCCGGCTCGAATGGACGGTATATGGTTGCGGCGGGCATTTGACGAAACCGTATGATAATTTCACGTCGCCTGGATATCCTTCAGTTTATCCGACATATATTGACTGCGAATGGCTGATCGAAGTGGATTACATGCACAGCGTCGAGATCACATTTTATGAAGTGAGTATACCTGAAGAAGTATATACGCAAAGATCATACGGAAGTTAGTACTTCGAAAGGGATGTTAACGTAAATCTGCGATATTGTAATGTAAAAAGGGAAACTTTTGTCCTTCAGGTTAACACTGACAAGCGTTTAAATCATCTGTGTGGCGAAAATTTCTACGATAAACTCCAAATTTATGAGGGCGAAGACGCAGATGCGCCGAAATTGGCCGAGATTTGTCAGTCGAAGAAGCCAGTGACGTACACTAGTCCAGGAAACAAAATATTTGTCAAGTTTCACTCGGATCCAATGTACGCCGGTCGAGGATTCAATGCCAGCTATAAGAGAGTCCCCATCGGATGCGGTGGTAAATTTACAACAATCTCGGGCGTCATTCACTCGGCTAATTATCCACAGAATTATCCGCACACTCAGAATTGCGAATGGCTGCTAGAGGTCGACAGCAATCACCTCGTGAATCTCACGTTCCTGGACTTTGATGTTGAGAACAGTAGAAATTGCAGTGACGATTACGTCAAGGTAACGCTGTAACTCTTAAAATAAATTGCTCGTAAAAATACAATCTCGAGTATTTGTTTAATTAATTCTAATCGCAAGTGTTAACAATCTTGTCTCTCGTATTTTCGTAGATCTTTGACGGCCCGACGAAAGATGACCCGTTACTGGGAGCACATTGCAGTAATCAGCTACCGCCGACTTACATTTCGAGTAGTAATCAAATGTTAGTAGTTATGCGGAGCGATAGTATTATTTCAGCCAAAGGTTTCAAAGCTCAATACAAGAGAGCCTGCGGTGCTCGTATAATTGTGAAGGATCACGGTTTCGTTACACCCCCGACGGGCGCTTCCCCTGATATAGTTGACGAGACTAATTGTACATGGACATTGATAGCTGAAAATCCAGGTAATTCAATTTTGTCTTAATTCACATGTTTACCTGCAGATATTTACATTTGTTTTTATAATTTTTATAATTATTCTACTTTTCATACTCTATTCTTTATTGCAGACGACCACGTAACAGTTACTTTCACGCATTTTGAGATCAGTCCGTCTAACACCCGATTCGTGAGACTGCCAAATTCTTGTCTTTGGCTCTCCCTCCAGGTATTCGAGGGTGAGGGCATAGATGGACCGCTTTTAGGGAAATGGTGCAACAACGTTGCGCCACCACCGATTACAAGTACCGGAAGCTCGATCACGTTACATCTACACGTGGTCCACGAGTTCTATGGTCACTTTGTCGCTATGTATTCCGTCCTGAATACAGGTACGTTAGATGAAAAAAAAAAAATATATATATATATAATATATATAGTGCAGAAATGTATTAAAAGATGTTTTTAATTTCATCTCAATTTTTCAGCTTGCGGCGGAAACTACACATCCGAACAAGGAATAATCACCTCGCCTAGTTATCCAAACAGCTATCCCTTGAACGCAGAATGCGTTTGGATTCTGAATACCTCCCCCGGTAACAAGATTACTCTTGGGTTCTCCGAGTTCGATGTCGAGTCGAGCGAAAACTGCGATATGGACTATCTCGAGATACGGGAGGATAGCGGAATTGGAAAGCTTATTAGCGTTTCTTGCGGCACAGATGTCGCGGAAATTACATCCTCCAGCAAACTGTGGATCAAGTTTAAGAGCGATGGTTCAGGCACTGCTAGGGGTTTCAAGGCTGAATATAATCTCATCGGAGGGAACGAACTGGAAGGACCTATGGGACGCATTACCTCGCCGTTGTATCCAATACCGTATAAGCGAACTGCTACGTTCTCATGGCGCATCACTGTTGAAATGAATTCGATTATACGTGTCAAATTTACAGATTTGCAAACAGAAACATATGGCTACTCTGTGCCAGATAGCATCTCCAATTTTATTAAAGCAAGTATATTTATCGAGAATGTGACAAAATATAAATAGCATGCACATTTTTAAGGCATAAATATAATCCATTAATACATAAATATAATTATATATATATATATATATATATATATAAAACATATATTGACGTTATATATTGTTATATATACAATATTATTATATATTGATGCTTAACATCGGTCTTTTCAGTCAATGAAATATTCATGTATTATTTTAATTATTAATTTATTTTTATCTATTTTTAATTAGCTATATGATGGATATGATAATGAAGCACCACTTCTACAAAAAGTAAACGGTGTTACTTTGCCAGATCCGATATATTCATCCAGCAATGTGATGTACATTATAATGAAAACACACCTTCTCAGTCAGGGAAATTATTTTGATCTCACATGGCTTCAAATGCCAAGAAATGTTTCCGAAGGGGGTAACAAGTAGATTAAATGTAAATTTCTATTATATATATCTATACTTAATATTTTATTATTACCATAAATAAGAATATCGAAATAATGCAATTTTTTATAATGAACTCGATGTTAATACAAAAGCTAATTTCAACGCCAATATCTTATTTCGAATTAAACAATGTTTCCCTATAATATAAATGCGCGATAATGCACATGTACATATGTATACATGTCGAATGTAGTGAACACACTACATTCGACAAGTAAGTAAAGTCACGTTAATGTGAAATATGTATGCCTTTAATTACAATTTATTTTGTTTGTCCGCAGTGTCGGAGTGCAACAAGGAAATAGCTTTGATGAGCGACCGCAACATGACGTACACCTTCAGTTCTCCTGGTTGGCCGACCGGCTATGGTCCCAATTTACATTGCAATTGGGTTTTCACATCGCCACCTGGAACACATTTGGTATTGAACATAATGATCATGGATTTGGAAGAAACTAGTAATTGCGTAGCGGATTCGGTTACCGTCTATTCAGGAAACGCATTGACATCGACAACCGATGCTCGTCTGGAAAGTAAATTATGCCTGGCGAACTCCAGTATGTCCAGAATCAGCGGAACCAATGTGATGACAGTGAAATTCGATTCGGACGCGTTCGACAATAAAACCGGCTTCAACGCATATGTATATCGAGGTTGTAAATGCCTGACATGCCTATTAACAAAATCAAATTTTGACACAAGTATCCGTAAACGCGTTCTCATTAATGTTTATAGATTGCGGAGGTCAATTAACTGGCCCGAACGGCATAATTGAATATGACAATTCTTCTTCCATGAGAGCGATTCCTTCGTGGCATTTTTCATGCGAGTGGACCGTGACAGTGAGACCCGGCAGAACTATCAAAGTTCACATTACCGAAATGTCAATACAGGAAATGCCCGATCATACATGCATTAATAATTATTTGATGGTTAGTACATTATATTATTAGATTTTTAGAGACAATACAATTATAAACAAAAGAAATAAATAAGAAAGGAAGAAATAAGAGAAAGAGAATTTAATATTAAAAAAAATAATATATATATATAATTTTAGTTAAAAAATGGAGACGGAATGCTCTCGCCTTTGTTAGGCAACGGAAAGTATTGTGGTGAAGTGACACCAGCGGAACTAGAAACCACCGGAAATCGTGTTTACATTAAAGCTGTTGGCAGTGGCCTTCAGTTTCGTTTTAAGCTCGATTATAGGTGATTTTTGCATAATGCAATTTTAAAAATTAAATAATGTATATACGTGATTATTACGTATATGTGACAGTATTTCTCTAACTTCATAAAATATTATTTTACTAAAACGTTTATTTTAATTCCTTCTTAATTTAATATCTTTTCATATTTTAGAGAAGTAAGCATGAGCTGTGGCGGCGAGTTCATCTTAACAAGCACGCAGAAGAAATGGGAGATCACATCGCCCAATTATCCAAACATCCCTCCAACTTATGCCGAATGTGTTTGGAAAGCTACTGCTCCAGCTGGTGAATGGCTCACAATCCATTTCTTGGAGAGATTCGATTTGACCTCGTCCGAAAAGTGAGATATGATTGTTACACAAAAATAAAACAAATTTCTAAAGAAATATTCTTAATATTACAGTTGACTAAAAATAATTTCTACCGTAATAATATCTTTTTAGTTGCGACAGAGAATATGTCGAGGTAAGAGATGGTGGAACCGATGGCTCGCTACTGATGGGAAAATTCTGTAAAGATGTAGCACCCAGTAGTATGACTACTAAAGGTAACATGATGTACGTCCACTTTTACACGGATACGCCAGAACCTAAGAATGGTTTCAAAGCTGTAATTACTGCAGGAGGTAGGTATTAAATAAATATATTTTACAAATTTTATTTTAATATTAAGACGGTAATAAATAATTTTTTCTTATTAAACAATGTAAACATTTATTATCTAATAATTTTACGTTAAGAGTAGAAAAATGTGATAAAGTGTAATGTATTTGTATAGAGGTCTGTGGCGGAATTTTGCGCGCTACTACAGGCGTCATTGAATCTCCGTATTATCCGCATCCGTATCCCGCAAATCAGAACTGCTCATGGATGATAATAGCACCGACGGATCATAACTTGAAATTAGAATTCCGCGATATACAACTTCCTGGCTTCCGTCGATGCCATTCGACTGATCATGTTGTTATTGGTGAAAAACTTAAAGAAAACGACACTAGTAAGTAACAACTGATAATGACCGATTACAAAAATTCGGATTTAAGCTTTTCCATTATTGTAACGTGCATGAATAATGAATGAAAACATTTTTCAACAGTTTCAATAATCGATACTTATTGCGGTCTTCAAAAACCGGATGTAATCGAAACATCGTCAAATGAAGCGTATGTGCACTTCCAAAGTGACAACAGAGAATTCGTTAATTACAAAGGTTTCAGTCTAAACTTCACTGCTAGCCAAGAAAGTTAGTAGAAAACAAACTGCATTTAAATATGTTTTATTGCGCATTATAAATTTCATTTTACATGTAAAAATGAATTTTATACTACAAATATTTTAATTATATATTTTCTGCTTGTTTAGCATGCGGTGGTTCATTTACCGCACTGAGTGGAATAATTAAATCACCCGGATATCCTAATCCGCGCACAAGATCAAGGTAAATTTTTTTCTAAAAAACAAAACTTTTATCAATTAACAGAATAATTTAAGTAATTAGTAGAATATTTTATTTATTGAATATCTGTGTGTTAAATGAAAAAGATAGCAAAATACAAAATTATTTTAAATTGATATTAAATTATAAATACGATTAATTTAAATAAATATGATATTAATATATACATTTTTTGTACACTTAAAATTGAAGCGAAATTCACACAATCTTCATCTAAATATCAATATGTTATAGATATTGCGAGTGGCGGATTGAGTTACCGATTGGTTATCAAGTTGTAGTGAATATTTTAGATGTAGATATTAGTGATTCTGGAATTGCACGCACACAGTATACACTTTCGGTAAGTCATGTAACGTCAATGAGATATGAAAAATATTTATTTCGACAAAAGGATAATACATTCTGAAATTCTTCTTTTTCTGCAGTTTTATAACGATTTACGGTTCAAATCGAAGATCAAAAGCTTAGGCCAAGGCGCTAGTGTACAAGAAATAAGGAGCTCCAGTAATACTATGCTTATTGCCTATTGGGCCTCCCTCGGACATCGAGGTTTCAAACTTCAGTATACGTCTGAAGCTCCGGCTCGTAAGTTTCAAACGCTACTATCGCGTATTTTATGATGATGCAATTTAAATAAAGATATATATTTTAATACCAAAAAATTTTAACCGACTAATTTTTCGGAATCATCGTAGCTTGTGGTGGCAGTCTGAGAGAAATTGAAGGCAATTTAACAGCTCCTACAAGCCCACCTTTCAATCAATCTTCGTACGTTTGCCACTGGAAATTGGAACCACCCGAAAATATGATCGCTTCCGGGGATAATCGCTTTACAATGACAATAAAAGTCACTGCTGTTTTTCTTGGCGGATTGGTTAGAAGTAGTTGCATCTATCCTCAGTATATTGAACTTCAGGGTAAAGTAAAAAACACTAATTTGTCGCTCGATATCGATAATAATTATTAGAGATAAAAATCAAATATTATATTTTGAAAAAAATATTAACATTAAATATTGTCTAGGTATTGGAAAATTGTGTGAAAATATGACAGAACCGAGATATTTAAGAAGTCCGAAATTAATCAACGAATTAACGGTAAAGTATTTTTAATATTTATCATAGCATTTCTATATCTATATAAATAATAGTTTTAAGAATTTTTATGTAAATTAAAATTATTTGCATTTTATCAAATATAAAAAATAGAATATAGAATATACTAAAAAGTTTTAGTATTTCAAATTTTAGCTAATGAATGGTACTTATTATGGATTAAAACCCATAATGGATGTCAATTTACAATATCAATGGCAACCTTGTGGTGGTATTTTGCGAGAAAGTTATACTATCGAATCACCAACGAACATTTCCTATCCTATAAATTGCGCTTGGCATGTAGATTATCCTGAAGGAGAAACGATCAATCTCTCTTTCACTAAACTTCAACTTGAAAATAACTGCGATCAGAATTACATCATTGTCAAGTAAGATACTTTCTATTGTTTATCAAATATAATCTTTAATATACCTAATCTTTAATCTACATCTATCGTTTATAATCAGGAATGGCGGACCGACATCACCGCAGGTTCTAAAGCTCTGTGTTCATGCCACAAGTCAACTTGAAAAATATAGCGTTAACAGTATTTCGAATCAGCTGTGGATAGAATATTTCGCTTCGAGCGGTTCAGGCAGCTTCGAGATCGAGGTGAAGGTTGCCACCACAGGCTGCGGTGGATCCTTACACGGAAGCAGCCGCGAAATCGCATCTCCGGGGTAATTACTATTTTCTTATAAAGATAAGAGGTTGTGTTAACACAATTTTTAAGGAGAGATCATTTAATAACACTTGCGTAATTTCAGATTCCCCGCACAATATCCGAACAATGGCGAGTGTACGTGGGAGATAATAGGCGACAATGGCTATCACATAGGTTTAACCTTCGTCGACCGGTTCAGCCTGGAAAGTAGTTCCAATTGCGAGAAAGATTATGTGCAGGTCTGATTATTATTATACGTAAGAAAAACGTTGAAGAATATTGAACAATTATTACTGTAATTTTTTCGATTGTTTTGCGATCATTTATTCCATTCACTACATTCTCGCAACGACTTAAAGAAACGTGAATACGAAGAAAACGTTGTGAATTAAAAGAATAGTACTAAAAAATTTATTGCACACAGATATTTGATTGGCTCAGAGAAGAAGGAAATTATGATAATGGCGAATGGAAAAGTCTCGGAAAAGTTTGCGGCAGGGATACACAAAAGCCTTTTAACTCGACGTCAAATCGCATGAAGGTGATTTTCCATTCGAACGAGGCAGTACAGTCGGATGGTTTTCGTGCCGTCTGGAACGAGAATTGCGGTGGTGTTTTTCAGGCGACCGAGAAAATTAACATCATCCAATCGCCGTCGTATCCATCTTTCTATCCACCCAGTGTTGTCTGTAATTACACCATCGTCGCGCCAAAGGATGACATCATCGTCGAGTTCACCGATTTTCAGCTTGAGCGTAAGTGTCAATAGTCATCAGGAGATCTTCAGATCCCCTGAGGTATAATATTCTGCTTTAATATCTTCTGCATATTATATACAAGCGTAATATATAGTGTCTAATACTATGCTGTAAGATATTTCATAAAACTACAATAATATGTTTGTGACACAGGTACATTTTATTATTTCTAAAACTCTAAAGTAAAAAGAAAAAAAAATAATAAAAATTGATTTTAGGAGACCGCAGACGACATTGTAGCTTTGACAACGTCACTGTCATATCGGAAAATATATACATGACGGAGGATGTGGAAACTTATTGTGGCATCAACAAACCACCACTTTTGAGATCCACTTCACGGATAGTGATTGTCTTTATGACGGACAAATATGTGCAGCGAAACGGTTTCCAGTTTAAATATTTCCTCAATAGTAAGTTGTTTCGCAAGTTCCTCGTATATTGATGGCAACAACAAAAATTATACGCTGCAAATAATAACATAATTGTTAGAAAATGTAATTAATCTGTTTAAAAAAATACTGCAGCGTTTGATATTTTGAGAAAAATTGTAAAATAATTAGAGAAAAAAAATGAAGAAATTAATAAAACCGTTGTAATTAACAGAATGCGGTGGTATAATCACACAGCCTGCCGAGCTTAAGCCTTTGATGCATGGAGAGGAATATTTTGGACGTATGAATTGCACTTGGATTATTAAAGCACCGCAAGGGAAGAGTATACTTGTGCGCTTCGAGAAGTTCATTCTAGAGTTTAGTACTAGGTGAGTTTTCGACAAGTCCAATATCAAGCGCGTTTTTTTATTAGAAATTTAATTAATCTTCTGTTTTCAATTTGTAGTTGTTATTTCGACAACGTCGCCGTTTACGAGGGTGATACCGTTAGTCATGACAAGCGAATTGCTCTGATTTGCGGTAACCTGACTGGTAATTTACCAACATTTAAATCCGATTCCAATTCTATGGTCGTTAACTTTAATGCCGATAATTCGAGGCATTTCGAAGGTTTTACAGCCAAGGTACAAAATCTGTTATTAATATTAAATATTATTCTGTGGCATTATTTGATCTGCCATTTAATGGTAACTGATACGGCGTCTTTTTTGTATAATAATTATCTACTGCCTCTTCTGTACCTCACTTTACTACATATTTTCAATTAAATTATGCCTAGCAAAAATGGTAACTATAATAATAATAAACAATTTTAGGTGCTGTTCACGACAAATCCAGAAGGCGGTTGCGGAGGATTAGTCAATTTAACGTCGATTCGATCTAAATCGTTCAGAACTCAACAGGCGGCGACTTATCAACCATTTGAAGAATGTCATTGGACTGTAGTAACATCACCGGCCAAAACTATAATGTTTACAATTAATAGCATAGATATTAAGAATTCAATTAATAATATCACTCAACATGATAAATGCAACGGTGATTATCTCGAGGTAAGTTTTGCGCGCATCTCTGATAAGTGCTTTTAGAAATGCTGGTAACAAGATTGCATATATATATATATATATATATATATATATATATATATATGTATATATCATACAATATCGTAAAAAAGAGATGCGGAAAATACGCATTAGTTTAATAGCATTAACCTATTAAGTTCATGTTAATATATTGTAAAAATAACGTTTAATTGTTCTTAGGTTCGAGATGGCGGTGGACCTTATGCCGAACTTATTGGTCAATTTTGCGGGCATTCAGTGCCATCTCCCATAACGTCTACTTCAAACCAAATGTGGATTAGATTTTATACTGACGGCACTACTGAGGGTGCCGGTGTAACAGCCACATTGGATACTAATGACGGTAAGAAATTTTATATTCACTTTATCAGTTCTCTATTATCACGCTATTGTAAAAAACGAAATATGCCCAAATCAATATTTTTTTACAATACATTTCATTTGTATATCTACAAATTTTCATGTCTCTCTTTTCTTAGTCTTTTTTTTTAATATTGTCAATAATTTGAAAATATTATTTTATTAGCTCTCTCTGGTAACTTTTCTTCTTGTGTGATTTTGTTGTAGCATTGTGCGGTTTAGGTACTCGATTAGTAAACGAGACAACTCATGTACTTACTTCGCCGAATTATCCAAATACACATTTAGCTGGAACTAAGTGTCGCTGGACCTTGAAATTGGCCAATGAATACAGTGATAGAATGCGAATTCGATTTATAGATTTTGATTTGGCGGATTCCGACAAGTGTGAACATGAGTATTTAGAAATTACTGAGCATAAAGTAAGTGCTGATAGATAATAAACACTTAAATATATTTATTCTTTATGTTTTAGTTAATAATATAATTTGCAAGATAATTAATTACTCTTAACAGTTACTAATTTTAAAAATATAATTACTAGTCAAGAATATACATTTTTCTACAAATAATTAAAAAATTAAACTATTATTTTCTTTTTAACAATCAGAAATACATCAATGAAGGATTTGGAACAAACTTTATTTATAGTGGCATAAGAACCCATCCAATTACCGTCGAGATGGTAAGTTTTCTACATTAAGAATCAAGTTCTGTGTCTCTTTTTATTAGTAATTCATTTACATTATATATATATATATATACACACATATATATAATATATATATATATATATAATATTTTTTTTATCTTTCAAGGGTAGCCGTTTACCTTATGCCTCGTACAGGTATTGCGGCAGCGAATTACCACACGAGTATTACAGGTATTTAAAATTGACTCTATTGGATCATTACGATGATCTAAACGATATTAAAGTAAGATTATTCCAAATTGAATGTTCTTCCACAGTTACAGTAACGAAGTCAAAGTGACATTTAGATCGTTGTCCAACGACCACAAGGGCTTTAAGCTGGGATACAGTAAAGCGAATTGCGATCGAAATTACACGAGCGAGCAGGGACGAATCGTTCACAACGAATTTACAAGCTGCACGATCACGATCACCGCCCCGGCAAACCATACCATTTCTCTGTACTTCAATCATTTCAGCATTTACGACGCAGAGCAGTGCACGCGCAATGCGTTGCAAGTACGTTCCTTAATTGCGAAGGAAATCGCTAAGGAAATCGCGTCTGAGAGGATACAGAAATTATTCAATTTACTTTCGAAAACCCGAGTGACGCGTTTTCGATGCGCGTTGTAAGTCTAAATTCCTAAATAGATTTATGCGTCTCGCAGGTACGCGAGGGTGACTCAAGTGGACCGCTTATAACGACGTTGTGCAGCACGGCGACGCCAAGCCCGATTTTCAGTACCGGCAACAAACTCACTTTGCACTCCTGGACCGAGAGCGCCAGCTCTTATCAAAGTTACGACATCATTTACACAACCACGGATGCAGGTAGGACGCGTAGTAGCGTGCATAAGTCTCCCCCTTTCCCCCTCGTTGCATCCGATTAATGCACGCCACCAGATGCGGAGAAATTATAACGCGCGGGCGATGATTTACGACGTTGCGGCGCCTCGAGATACGCGCCACGTGAAATGTTGCGGTTTATTTTCGCGGGGAGGGGGGGGTGGGATCGCACGAAAATCCAATTGCGGCACCGCTTCAAACGCCGCGCGAGTTATATCGCAAACGAAAGATCGGCCGGGGCGTCGTTTTCGCAGAGCATTTCTCAAAATCGAAATTGCGCAGGTCGTGGTTGCGGAGGGCGTATATTCAACTACGGTGGCAGATTCACCTCGCCGTTGTATCCTAATACGTATCGCAACAATACCGTGTGCACTTGGGACGTGAGCGTACCGCGAGGCTTCAAGATCATTCTCGAGTTTCTTGTATTTGACATCGGCACGAGGAAGAACTGCGGCGGCAATAATCTCAAAGTTTACGACGTTGTCCCCAGCGGAGAACTTTTACATAGCACTTACTGCGGTGGGGTAAGTGATTTGACAATAAAAAATAAAATGAGAGATATATTCTCGGAAATTGTCGACAGATTTTAGAATTGGAAAAATTGCGAGCGTCTAAAGAATTTTCTTAGCGAGAATTTGTTCTACAAAACTACATTTTTAATTTTCCTTCAGATTATATTTCAAATATTTCTTGAAATATCATTTCTGTAACATATATAATTAAACATATATGTATTTGTAATGTATTTTATTACATACATAATTAAAATTAATAAAAATATAAAGTATATAAATAAAGATATTTTTTGTAGGATGATCCAGCGAGACTCGAAATTGATACCAATCGAATTCTTGTTAAATATACTTCGACAGTTAATAATATTGGATCGGGATGGGTTATTGTATTCATGGCACAATCGACTGGTAAGCATGAATATTCGTCTTTATACGATAGGATGTTTAAATTTTTTTATAAACCGCAAATCACGTAAGTATGAAAGGCAATAATTGAAAAATAATTAACGTTTTCAGTGCATCCCATCGACATAATGGACGGTTGGTAAAGGAGACATCAAGACTGCAAAAAGTAACGTTTTTAAATATATAATTTAGTGACAAAAACATCCTAAAATTTATGTGTAATTTACTGTAGATAGACGAAATAAATAAATTTGTCTGTTACTGAACGCGTTTGAAATCTTATCGTTAGAAATCTTAATTATGATATTATACAAGAATGTATTAATGTAAATATATCTCTGATCGCTTTTTACTGTTTAAGATTTTATCATTAATATACTGAATATTGTTATTCCGATGCCGCACATTCTTCATCATTATTTTGAGCTAAGCAATTTTCTTCGGATTCAATCTCATTTGTTTCAATTTCTTCTTCCTGTACGATAAAATTTTCTTTCGGTTGCTCTTCCTCAGCTTCCTGTTCTTCTTGCACTACTTCACGCTTCTTTTTATTTTTCTTGCTCTTCTTTGATGTTTCCTGAGATTTCTGTTTATCTTTCTTTGTCTTGTCCACAGTTTCTTCTTGCTCGGAATCTGCAGATGTTATATCGGCTTCGACTAATTCTTCCTCGGTTTCTTTAGATTCTGTGTTTTTGGGTACCTCTTCCTTTTTATTTTTCTTGTCATATTTAGTTTTCTTTTCGTTCTTGTTAACAACATCCTTAACGCTTTCAGAATTTTGCGATTTAGAGCGCTTTGTCTTCTTACTTGGAACATCAGTATTTGAATTTTTCTCTACATTTTCAACTTCCTCAATATTTTTTGATTTCTTCTTATTTTTTTCCTCCTTTAAGCTTTTCTTCGATTTTTGGCGACTATCAGAATTTTGAGAAGTTTCAAGAGGTTTTTCAGATTCTTTCGATTGCCCTTTAGCAGTCTTATCTTTCTTACTTTGCGTTTCTGTTTTTAGCTTATTTTTCGAATATTTCGATTTTTTATCGTTATTTATATTTCCCTCTTCATTTGTCGCTTCGATATTTTCACGTTTGTTTCGCTTGTTTTTTGATTTCTGTTCTGACTTGTCAGAATTTTTTTCTTCTGAATATTTTTCAGAAAAACCTTCGACGTTTCGTTCTGGTGAACTGTTTTTCCTCTTTTTCTGTTCTTTCACATACTTGTCTTTCTTCTTTGATTGTTTATCCCTAGGAAGTATTTTAATTAGTATAGAAATCAACATTTTTAAAAGTACAAATTTCAAATAACATGCATTAATTAATCATAGCTATTTTACAGATAGCGATTTATTTATTTATTTATTTATTTAGACTTAAATCTGTGTGTCTTGCAAAGAAAGAAAGAACAATGTTACGAAAGGTCTTGTTATGTGACGTAATTTTAAATAGTACCATCGCGGATTTCTCATCTAAAAACTGTAAGAAATGATACCTTTTTATACTATTTTCTAGCACAGTAAAAACAAGGCTTTTCATAACACCCTTCTTTTATCTAGAGATAATAATCTTTCTCTTTCTCTCTCTTTCTCATAATTTGCTACACAGATTTAATAAGAGAAAAAAAATTAAATATATGGCGAGAATTTGAATCAATATATTGTTAAACGAATTATTTTGTTCATCACAATTACTTACTTCGTACGGTGTTCTACATCAACCTTTTTCTCTTTTTCACCACCGTTCCTTGATTCCACATCTTTGCTCGATTTTTTTGCAGAAGTTTCCGCAACGAGTATTGCAACTAATAGGAGTGCAGTCAATAATATCCACAATCTACACAGATCGAATTTAGTTTTTTTATTTGAAATTTCTTACCAGAGACGTGTACAAGATTAAAAAGCATTAATCTTTTCGATTCTACATTATTTCTTGTAAAAGCAAGAAAATATTTCATCCTTAATTAAACTTAATTAGCAGGTCAATATATAATAAAAAATATAAAATATAAATTATAATTTATACTTTTTGATAAAATAACTTTTTGCAAAAATATAGTTACGTATTGTTTGAAAAACTATGATCATTACAAAGCAAGTTAAATCTTTGTCTCATTTTCAGAAAATATTCCTCTTACCTCATTATGACCTGATTGTTTCTATCGCACTATGATTGCTGTTTGATTTTTCTACGCGCTCGTATCACGGACCAGTCTGGCACAACACTATCTCTGCTCAGGTATTACTTGCCCCTTATATCTCATAAGGTTGTCACCAAAGATATCTTGATAAATACAACGAATCTCGTACGTTCACGTCAGTGGTTTTGCGGATTCGATATCGCAAGTGCTATCTGGGCCAAATCTTCCGAGAAGGATGGCAAATTAAACACGTTAACGCGCAGCATGCGCAAAGTACGAGGTTCAAGTGTCAGTATAATGCTCTGGTTGAATTCGCACATAATCACAGTAATGTGTGACCTGGGGTGCTTTAAAATGCGATACTGAGATGATAAGCACTATTTCTTTGTATGTTTTCATTAGATGTATTTCCTTGCTTCGGTCAACTTTCAGTTATAATTCAGATATTTGAATCGCGGTGGATATCTTACTCTGCGGATATCTAATCTAGTATCAACAGTAAAATCGGTTGACAGTATGTAGCATCTGACGTTAATAAGCACTCAACACAATGCTGTACGTGCGTAATAAACAACCTTTACGCGTTTATTCTCGAGAAGCCTTGATTAAATTGTAATTAAAAAAATACCTTATGACGTCTATAACCGGATTAATACCGATAAATTTGAGTGACAGTTATAATACTCTCCTAAGAAAAGGCACATACGTTGATATGCTTTTTTAACAATTTTCTCAATGTTAAAGTCACTATACAATAATAATTCTATAAGATCTTTTTCTTTTTTTTTTGTTTCCACTAGAAATTGTATTCCTTTCCTCTTTAAATATATCCAATCTTAATCATCTCATATCTAATTAAGATTATACAAATTGTGTCGTAAATTGTTGCCGCGTTTTATTAAAATTAATATTTTAAAATAAATTGAATATACATATTTGTATATACAAATGTATGGATAAAAATAAATGCACATGAAAAGAACAATTTTGCTGGATATACATATCTAAAAATAATTTTTGTTGGACAGTCAAAATAATTTTGTTTAAAATTTAAGTAAAAAATGGTAAGCATTGCTATAAAACATTTTGATATTGTAGCAATCAATTTGACTTTCCAACAATATTATTTTGATAATCCAACAAAAATTATTTTGAGATTTGTATCCAGCAAATTCTTTCCGTGTATGATTAAGGAAAAACATATATATGCCTTTTCTTGTTTACTTATATATATATATATATATATATAATAATATAAATATATGTACAAAGATTAAGATAATAAATTTGCTTATATACTTTTAAATATTTTACAATCAAACAAGGAATTAATCTTATGCGAAATATGCGATATGCCGATATGTGAGCATAATCCGTTCATCGAAATTAAAAACAGAACATTTATGATCGAGCAGAATATTCGGAGTGAGCTTATTTCGCAGAAATATTTTGGAACAACAAAACATATCGGTCGCCCGCGTGCGACCTTGATGCTTTTTCAAGACGCGCGCGGCGTAGGCGGCGTAGCTTACCGATGATGTCCGAGCCGCCGAGCCGAGCCGCGGCGCGGGGCGCGGGGCGCCACGGCTACCATTCACTTGCGCCGCTTGCGCGTCGGGCAGCGGCGGGGTCGGCGGGGCTCGAGCGGGCAGGTAATGGAGTGTACCGCTCTGTGTATTATTATTATTAACATCCCTCGAAACATCATTCGCGATCGCATTTGCTGTATAATCAGTTCTCGAAACGAATCACGAATTCCACGGCGGCGGACGATTAGAATGCGTATCGAGGTGAGGCATTTCGTGCAATTCGGTACCGTCGATCGCGGGCAGCGAACGCGAAGAGATCGCAGGTTATGGGGACGTTGAATCGCCGTTTTTTTTCGCGATGATATCCGCACGACAACAACCATAACTTCGCGACACGCTAGATTGCCTAGATTCGGGTATTTCGCGTTGTGCCAGAATTGCGAATTTCGTCCACCCATGGATGAACGATCGCGCCGTAGCCGGCCGTGAAATTGACTCGCGTAGTATTGCGCGAAGTTAGGCGCGCGTGCCCTCTCGAATTTTGTCGGTCATTTTACGGAACGTCGCAAGTGCGGGACGGATTTCGGCTCCGAAATGAGCGACGTACATATCGCGTAGTTTAATTAGCCGCAGTCAGTCTGGCACTTTGATATCCCCCCCCCCTCCGGTCCCCCCCGCTACGCGAATTCGGCGTTAGTGCCGCGGTAGCTCTGATCGTAGGGTAGAATTCTGCACCGCTCGATACTCCGCCGTAAATTCCGGTAATTTACGAGGCGTCGCGAACCAATATAATAGCGTCATACGATCCCGCATTTATTGCGCGTCACTTTTCCATCGTGTATTTTCCGGCGAGGTGCGCGTCGCGTGTAATCAACGTCAATTTGAAAGTGTCGCACCGTGCGATTATCGTATTCTGTTAATTATATAGTACGCGCGATCGTGATTATAACTGTAATTCGCGAGTGAGTAGTATCGTGTGAGTATCACGGACATGGTGGAACACGATGGGACATCTGAGAGGAGGAGCAGGCCCGGGCAGGCATCGGGCGACGACGGGACAACCGTGAGGTAATTTATGATTCATTATTTTGCTCTTCATTTATAATTATTTGCACATTCGCGCAATAGCTATTTCCGATATCAATTATTTTGGGCGTTGCGATAATTTAACCAAACTTGTGTTTTACAGACCGACGCGGTGGAGCAACGCAGTTATATCTCCGTCGCAAATCGAAACGGTTAGTCAAGTTACTTTTTATTTCAATGTGAATTTCAAAAGAGGAAGAATATCGTAAATAAATATTATATCTTGCCGATCCATTGCTTCAAAACAGCTAGATGGTCCGAAACAGATTAGAATATATTGATATATTTGACAGATTGATAATTAAATGATATATTTGACAGATTGATAATTGATTATTAAATGTGGGACATATAACTTCGTACGTTAATTTATGATGTATAGAAGATTGCACAACGATGGCAAAATAGAGCTCGAAATATCATTTATTGGCATAAATTTGTATCTTCTGTAATTGCAAAATATTATATTAGCCGCTTAGAAATTTGCGAGTATAAACAGAAAAAGAGAAAGATAAAAGGTATTTTACGTAAATCAACTTGGTGAAAATGAATAATATTAGAGTAATTTTTGCAACAGTGAAATTGCTTTTTGGTTTGATAAATCTATTATCATCTTTCATATTTTCTGCCAAATATTTCAAGATTTTCTCGGGATTTATAAAAATTCCAAATATCTTAAAATTAATTAAATCTTTGAATCAATTTGTTATTTAAATAACATCATAAAGAAAAAAGAAAAAAGAAAATAAACTTAAAGTAATGATATATTTTTCACAATATAAAACTTTTACTGTAAGTTCTTCATATTTATTTTTAATGGATAGCAAAGATCGAAAGGAAATGAAAGGGAAAAATTATTATATTAGAAAAAATTATCAGAAATTCTGAAATTCACATGATTTGAAAAATTAAAATAATTAATTGAAATAATTGATTTTTAGATAATATTTGGTACAAAAGAGCTTAGTAATTAAAGGATAGTAAAAATAATTTTATAATTTATTTTTAAAATAAGAAATCTATTGCATTTGCTATTCACGAAATTTAACAGAAATTTATTCTCTTCATTTATAGCGAATTTATAATCGCTTCCTAAAGTATTGTTCGTATTATGTTAATAATTTAAGCTGTATGGAATATCATCAACCATTTTAATGAAAATATCTATTTAAATTCAGAGAATTGAATGTATAACGCGTAATATAATCATAGAATTTCGCATTTAAAAAATTAGGAAGGGAATTGATATGGTTCTAAGCACAATAAAAATGCAGCGATTAATAAAACTATATACTCTTATATTTTGAATTAAATGGCGTATTTGCATTGTTTAATGTTTGTCATATTCTTTCGGTATTTAACATTTTTTATCGCATAAGACAGTATACTACTAGTATACAGGATAGCACCGTACATAAAATGTGTACAGTATATATACTATTGCTACTCTATTATCTTTCTCGGCGCTCCTGGTCCTCGGCTTTAAAAAAAAAAAAAAAAAAATACTAAAATTTTACGAATTTCGTATGTTAGTGATGATAAATTAATAAGAAAGGAAAATTAATGTGTTATTATTGGTGCTATTTTATTACACATTGGTTGAAAATGCTTCCATAAATATTTTTTAAAATGTATTTGTATAATTTTTCTTAGAATTTTTTTTAATGCACAATCTCATAATTTCATATTTTTTGACTTTTGTATAAGAAAAGATTGCGCATTTATAGGATTATGTATGGGATGTGAAATGAAAAATGAATATATTAAAGAAAATAGAAAAATAAATTCTATATTTATTCCCAACTAAGAATATTTACTTAGTGTATTATATTTTCTTTGAAACAGAAGATATTCATTGGATAAATATCTAATATTTATTAAAAGGAACAAATGCAATTAATAAAAAAATAAGTTTTTAAAGTTATTTTTATAATATATCTGAAACATTAATAAAATTGAAAGCATTTTCTTTTATGTGTAATGTTCAATTTTTACAAGTATTTTATCACAATGATAAAGATATCGTGAACATATACGCGTGTAAATATTATAAATAATACATAAAGACACAATCATATTAATCTAGGTATAAATCTTATGTATTTACAAAAGTACTTACATACTAATATATCTGAATTGCCAACAAAATATCTTATTTATGAATAACAAGATAAAATTAAAGAAACAAGATTTAATGAAAGCTATTTAAGTATTTATATTTCGATGAAAGCTATTTAAGTATTAAATTTATTTGATGAAAATAATGTGACACTCACATTATTTTGTAGAACATGTGTTATTAACGAAAACTACAAAATTGTAATATTATTGCATATAATGTATGAATATAAAAATTCGTGGAAAAAAATAATCAACATAATAATTTCTTGCGACGTTCATAAAGTGGATATATTTATTATCTGACATTTGATCTAAATACGGAATTAGGCTCTTGACAATTTATTTGTATAATACGATTTTCACGACGCTAAGTATTTTTTTTGCATTCAGCACTATATAATGGCAAGTGAGTGTTATAATAGTGAACATTTTATCAGGTGTTACGTAGAAATCTACACTAGTTTGTAAAATCTAATAAATTACTGGGCGTATCAAGAGAGCTCTCTATTAGAGTTTTATTACCAACTTTAAAATCTTTATATGTACCACAAGGCACTGATTGTAAAAAGTATAAGAATCAATGAAAATACTCTCAATCCTATGATTTTATTTAATTCTTTCTAATTCATGACAATTAAAAATGAATTCTATTTCGAGAACTGTGTAAATAAAAGCTATATTTAGTAGGTGTATATTTAAAGTATCTCTCTAAACTTGATTAATACTGTCGCATGTTTCAATTACATACAAACATACATATACATATATATTATATTATATATGTTTGTATATAATTGAAACGTACAAGAGTACTGATGAAGTTACATACATACATATATGCATATGCTTATATATATGTTTACTATTAAGAACTTTACGTGCATAAAATCGTCATTGTTCTGGAACATATGCATACAACTAAAGAAAAATAAGTAACTATTTAGTACTTTTATAAGATCCATATCTCATAATATGAATCATTCTTAAGTAATCATTCTTTAAGTTATCTTTCAAATAAATGACTGTATAACTTCAGAATAAAGAATACAATATAACAAAGCAAAATTGAGGAATATCATACGTTGCTTGCCGTTAGAATGCAAACATTCGTGAGATTTCACTCTTCATTGAAAAGATTTCAATTTTTTATTACAATTGAATTCATTCAATTCGAGTGATTGAAAATATGTTGCTATTTTGAGATTGCTAATAATAAAGTAAGATTTTACTTAAATTCAAGCGATGATATTATGCAAAAATAATTGCTCGTGGTCTGTGTTTAAGTATCTGGAAATTATTAGCGTTGTCATGAAAATGCAGCGTATCTTAAATTACCCGATTAGAATTGCTCAACACGTGATATCTCACAAAAAATGCATTCTACATATTATTATCAATTACTTCTTCCAATTTGTGCACAATCTATATATCAGTATATTGCGTATAACCTATGTCAAAAACTGACTGAAACATTTTGTCATGTACCTGAGGCAATCCTTTCACAAAAATATTCTTCTATGATACATAATACCCTGACCACTATACAATTTCTCCCACATCAACAATCAGATCTATTTACAATAGAACGGTATTGAAAATAGGTATTTTTCGTACATTCGACTGTCTTTTGCGCGTTAAGAGACATTAAGTTTTAACATAAGGAATGACGACAGCAGAAAAATAAGAAATCGAAATAAAGACATTACGTTTGTTCTGACGGAATTTTTCGGCTCGGAAGAATCTTGATTTTTTTCCGCGACGAGCCATTTAACGGGTATTCTTCTCGAAGAGACTGAGGATATTTTTGATCGGGATAGTTCCACGCCTGTATGTCCGCTGTACCAAATATTTGATAGGCAATATACGTACTGCAAGATACACCCGCAGTAACCGCAAATACTCTTCTCCACGAATCGAGAGATTGCTGTTGGAAATATTACGTTATTTTGGTTTTCTAGTGAATGATAGAGAACAAAAAAAGAAAATATATATAAAACGCTTACGCTTTCTTGTGTGAGCAGACCAGCTGCTATAGGAGATAGGAAACTAGCAGTCATGTGAATCGTTTGCGCGAACGCTAACACTGGTCCTGAAAATAACACATCGATTTATAAATATTGATATTTCTAACCAAAATTAATATTTTCACGAAAATACGCGAACCTACCAGCAAAATTGGGTGCGATGTCGACAATATTGGCCATCGCACCCGCGTAGCCGGCTGTTATGAGAGTAACAGCTATGAACCACACGATTAAAACTAGGATAATATCGCAGCCTAAGTAGCCAATTAAGATCACAAGTATTCCGGGAACCACTTGAGCTAGAAGGAAAAAAAATCGATTGTTCAATTTATCTTCCAAGTATTAGTTGAGGAAAGCCACAAAATGGACTCACATAACGCGGTGAATATCTTGCGCACAGTGATTAACGTCATGATTTGCCGCGTGACTAGCAGATCCGCAACGTAGCAAAATACAACGGAGCTTAAGTAGCTGCAGATAAATGGTGCACCTGACAGGATACCGTTCTAAACGAGTTAATAAATTTATTATTTTGTTAGTCATCACATATAAAAAAAAATTCAAGAATTTTCGTCAAATAGCGAATACTTACTGCTTGTATACTGAATCCCAACACCGTTTTCATGTACATCGGACCGGGAATGATAAAGACATAATGTACCCATATTCTTCCGAAGGTCGTAATACCGATAGCCCACGCTGGCCAGGACGTCAGAATAGATTTCCAAGGAACGGGCAGATCCTTTAAGGAAAAAAGCATAGATACGTTCGTGCGTTCGTTCTTAAAAAAGATTGTTTAATGGTTAAATATACTATAAATCTCTTACCTCATTCACTTCGTTAACTTGATTTCTAACACATTCCTGAATATAACGGAGTTCCGGCTTAGATATTCGGGGATGCGAGGCAGGCGTGTCGAAGGCGTAAAAATACCAAAAGACGCACCAGACGAGACCGACGGTGCCAGTCGTGTAGAACACGGCCCTCCATCCGAAATGGACGATGATGAACGCGCACAAAGGATAGGTCAATCCGATGCCGATGCTGAACCCTGAATATAGACAACCTAGATGTTAGGAATAGCTCACCCTACGATCCGGAAGGAAGCTGAAACATGATGCTTGTCGAATGGCCGTCGTCTTGATTTGTTACGACTCATGCGTGGTGATGATCGCTCTTCAGTCGAGGTATTTCATCCTGTAAAGCGATTCAAGTAAAAGACTTAGTACGCGGGGACGGTGATAGGGCATGATGAAGCTGTTAATAGTGGGACAATGAAACTTCTATGTCTGTAAATAAAAGTTTAAACTCGTTCTACCTGCAAAGTAAGCGTCATTCGTATTACGTAGAGATCGGTATCACAAAAAATGTATCGTAATGAAAACATGAAGTTATTATGTACGCGTTAAGTACAAATTTTTATTTCTATTCCTTTCTATTTCTATTTTTATTCTATTATTAGCATTCCTTTTCTTGCCATATTATTGTTATAAAATGCACTCATGTAAAAAGTTTATAATTAATATTTTTAATATATGAGATATACACTCGTGGTCAAATACTTCTTTAACGGGGAAAAAAAATTTACGGAGAACACGCATATATATAAAATATACATTAAAATACACGACATATAAAATTGAACAGAATTCTATTTTGAAATCAAATTATAGATCGCGAATTATAAATCGTGTTTTTGTGCTAATAGAAATAAAGTCTTAGATCTAATAGTTTAGAGCAGAAGAGAAATAAATTAACGCGTCACATTGTGAACAAAATGAAACTTGTGATCCGTCTCTGGAAAAGTTTGAGTGAGAAAGATGATTAGATTTATTATTAATTGCACACTGCAGATAAATGGATGTAGTCGAAAGATAGAATTTGTACATATAAGACAAAAATATAGACAATATACATGTTCGACGAGTCCGGCTGATTCTACCAGCTGGAAGTATACTCGGCCTTTCTCATGCTGTTGAGCGGTCGCTGTTGAGTATACCCCTCGGTCCGGCGAATGCAACCTCGTACGTGGAGATGAACTATTCGGGATCAATTAAGTGATAAATTCTGGCGCCGTTCGATGCGCAACATTTATAGAGAGAATTATTTTCATTTTAACAAGAGATTATTTTCTTGATCTGGAATTTTGAAACAATAATGTGTAGTTTCTCATTCGAACTTCCGTATTTTCCATTCTGAAAGAAGCGTGCATATTAGTATTCACGTGAACACAATCGAAAGGAATATGCGGCTTTCATTTTTGCGGCTGTTATACTTGCGATTATAAGAGGATATGCGCATAGTTTTCGCCTAATTTCGAATTGAACGTATCGAAGTTTCACTGTAACACACGAAAATCTCTGTTAGCGGCCGACTTTATGACGTACCTTGAAAGGAAGACATGAAGCGTGAGCGTTCCACGGGTGGAATCCAGTGCCCGATTACGGCGTACATCGCGGGCCATGTGAGTCCCTGTTAAAAAAAAAAGGGAAAAAAATTTGAAAAAATCACGAAAATCTCTTCGCTATCCGAATAAATAGAAAAATTTACATGATATTTAAAAGATTGTTCTGTCTTAAAGATTTGAAGTGTCTCTTAACTATTTTTATGATATTCCTCTATATCTTTCTTGAAATCTATTTTTATCTTGTCTAGATATGACAGTAAAGCATTTATCATGAATTTCATCCGATGATTAATGACTTACACTTGCAATGCCCTGTATACTGCGCAACGTTATCATGGCCCCATAATGGATCTCCGCGGCAGTCGGCATAAGCAGACTGCAGACGGCAGTGACGGCTTGAGATCCGCCGAATATAGTTTTCGTGCCGAAGTACTGAGTGAGAACACCGCCGAGCATTTGCGAAAGTATGTAACACCAATAAAAGGAACTGGAAATGGTTGATTGAATAGCTGGACTCCACTCGAACTCGCCAGCGTCCTGTCCATAAGAACGATATGATATTATTCACAATACTTTTTCTTTTATCAAGTTGTATTAAAATGCACGTATGTTACGTCACATTCAGACGCAGTAAGGAATACTTTATGTATTGTAACAAGATTTTAACATCACGATAACCTGTTTTGAGTGCGCTATATGTACTTTGTCTATTGTGTTTTGTATAACATAAATATGATACAAATGTATTCCAAGTCACTGTCAAGAACAAAAATTTCTTTAGAGAATATTCAGTAAACATAAAAAGTTTACTAAAAAAGGAAGCAAAATTTTGAGAAAAAATTCAATAGAAAATCAGGCAAGTATTTACTTTTCAAAGTATTTATACCGCATTCAAATGTATTCAAACAGGTTGTCGCGATGTTAATCTTGCCAATTACTATACATACATTAAAATATTCCGACTCGACTGCGACTGAACAATGATGTAACTCAACAGCATGAGAAAGGCCGAGTAATATGCGTGTATTTTAATTATTGGTAAAAGAAAATTTTATCAAAAATAAAAATCGAATAATCTTTTTTTTCTGGCATACTGGGTCCTTTTTTTATCAGAGAAATAAATCATTGCTATTTCGAGAATCGTGAATAATGAATGATGCATGGATAAAAAACAAAGAAATTATGCGCTATGCAATATCAAATATCGTGATATCCGCAAGCATACCTCCGGCCTGATTACAGTAGTATTTGTGTGTGACGTATTTGATATTGTGTAACAGTGAGACGATGTGGTTTCATTGTTCGATGTTGATGGCAGCTTCGCCATGGCCACCATGGCGATATGAATGTCCGTTCTCATCATGAAAGACACGAGAAATCCGGAAAATGAAAGCATGTACAGCACGACACGTGCTGGAACCATGTCTGCAATCAGGAAATCAAAATGCAATCTGATTATCAAGAGTCGCGCAATACTGATCGTTTCATTAGAGAGCGCATAATGGCGGAGATTGCTATTTCAATTTATTTCTTTTTTTTTTCTAATAAAAAGACTATTTAATGTCATGTTGCAAAAAGAATACTACCTCCCAATTTTCGTAAACTGCAAGGTGGCTGTTCCTTGTACATATCAGATTCCTCATACCTGTAAGATAAAATTACGGTATAACTGCTAAGATGTGCAATATCGTAGTAAGAAAGAGTCATGTTTTTTGGTATTATCAAGTTTCGTAATGGCAGCAAGTTTTTTTAAATTACATAATGATATTGAGAACTTATCTATCTAAAATGAAAACATATACATAATGGATATACACATAAGTATGATCGATAACGCAACTGCAAGAAAAATAAAAATAAAAGTATTTTTTTTAATCTGGTGTTTTACCTTTGAGATTCTTCCATTTCTTGCCTGGAGCTTTCGATATTTGAACAGAGTACAAAAATGAATCTGTTGTATACGGTGGAAACACAAAGGATCACCTTGGATTCTGGAAATAGAGAGAATTAATTTAATTTATTAACCATCTTAAGTGACATGTCATTCGGTTTATATGAGCTTTCATGTTGTCAAGTATAAAATGGCATAAGGTATTCGAACCATTTCGTCGAGGTCATGATTTATGAGAACAGAATGAAATTCCACCACGAAACTCATATCGACGTTCTTGAAATTCTTTGTAGAAGAAGCTTCCGCAAAAATTTATTTATAAATATCATGCTATTCCATTAACAAGAATTCGAAAAAAATCAATTTTATTATAGAAAATAATTACTTTTGTGACTTATGGAACTTTCTACGATAGTCTTTTTTTTCAGTTAATAAATATGTTGCAAATTGTGATTTTGTTGCAGTGCTAAAAAAAAATACAAAAGTATAATTATTTAAAGATTTTTCATGCATATCCATTATGCATATGAAGTCTTTGTATTTTGTGGAAAAATAGATGCGTATATATGAATAATTTTGTATAATAATTTACTTTTTTTATAAACTAAAATTTATGCTTATCAAAACCGATAAAGAAAAGTGTTGTTACTGTCATTAAATTACAAGATACAAGATCGCTTAAAATATCGCCATTCAGTATATTTTAAAATTTTCATTTTGTACAACGCGTTGCGTAAAATGAATTAAAATTAATAGATTTCTATCAATTCTAACATATGCAATCTTTGAATAAAATGTTTAATTATTTCTTCTCGCGACATATGTAAAACATGAGAATAATTAAAGTCGTATGTGCAATTATTTCCGCAAGATATTGTCGAGACGGTCATTTATGCGTACATGTGTGGAATTGATTAAGGAGCTTGGTATTGAAGGTAAACGATGATCATGCAAAAGTAATTTTACGTAATAGAGGAAATGATACTACCGAAATTAAAAATATAATTGTTGAAAATGGATAGTGCACAAAATGCGCATTAAAATTAAAGATTTATAAAAATTTTATTTTTATTAATACAAACCGCACACTTGAGATTTATTATTTTATTTCGAAACAATGGGTTGTGAGAAATCGTAATATCACATGATTAATTTTATAAAACATACAGCAGCAAAGAAAAATATTGCAATACTCATACATACAGACTCCATAGAGAGTAATATATTCTTTTAAATTTATTATGTCAAGTATGTTATTTAAGCAAAGAAAAATTTTAAAGTAAAAAAATTACAAAAAGGAACGAAGTGCACACAAGCTTAAATTTATTTTTAAAAAATTCAAATAGGCAATTACGCAAAAATTCATAGCCAAAAGAGTAATTTTAGAACACTAGATGCACATAAAACCTATTGTTTCATAATAAAAAAAAATTGTATTATCAAGTTACAATATTACAATATTATATAAATTATCTTGATCAGATTGAATGTATTAATAGAAAAATTTCGGATTAAATTTTAAGATTTTAGATTTAAAGTGCAGCTATTTTTTATTTGCATACAGTGTTTTAAAATATCGGATAACTCGGTAAATAAATAATAATATTATGTCAGAGTTACATATGATGAATGTGCATAAAATCGAAAGTACTACAATAATGATAGATTATATGTAGTATTTTTATGTGTCTAAAGAAGCATCGTTTGTGTTTGGAAACTATCCACATTCAATTAATTTAATAAAACTTCTAGTTTGCGAATTACAAAAGTCGTTACGTTAACATTATTTTCATTTTTCCACGTAATAATGGAACGATCTCGAGATAAATGAGGTATTTTATAAAATTTGAAAATTGATGCAAATACATTTCAGCTTCTGAATGAAGAATTTATATTATTAAAATGTGATGTTTTTTTAGAAATATATTATTACAGCCTTTGGCTCTTGTGGGAAAAATTGCACTGGTACGACAATGTGCGATCAATTTTTTTTCAAAGTAACCACGTGATTATCTTCAATATCGAAGAGTCACGTCGATGAAGCGATGTTAAAATGATAGTGATGCTAATTCACATAGTTTCATGAATGTGATTTGCTAGCACTGACGAATAAGACAATTAGCAATATTAGCATATTTCCTAGTTTTCCAAGAGATGTGTTGAGCGCGGAACGACCTCGATCCATCGATATGCATCACAACTGATAAGAGTTAGCAAAGTATAACAAAGTCATAAGTCCCAAGCTTGTAAAAAATTAAAAAAAATGTGTTACGCAGCATTGTCCTATGTTCGATATGTGTCACTTACGTCAAAGATAAAGTTTAGAGACAGACGGAGGCGAACGCGATTACAAATTCAATAGACGCGACTCGTAGCGTGTGGCGAACGAAAGAAATCGCGATACGATCATGATTGCCGGCGGAACGAAGTATCGACACTGAAAGCCGACCGAACCACGAGGCGTTGACTATCTTCAATGACCCCACCATTGCGCCGGTTCGCGTTCTTGATATAATGTGAGACGAACATGTGGAATAATGTGGAATACACACACTGTACTATACCTATTATGGGTAAAACATGGAATATTTTTAGCAAACAACTATTGACGGTCACGTACTAAACTCAAAATTTAAATGAATCATTCATGAAATACATTACATAAGAAAAGACAGTGAATATACATAATTTGGAACAATAGAAATAAAAGAAATATTTATGTAATTAGCTAAAGTCAAGATATAATTATAAGGAAACGATATTTAAATTTATTAAATAGATAAAAAGATAAAACAATTTATTTTAGTTATCTCGTTTTAGAAGCATTAGTTTGCCCTTGATCATTTTCCCGATAATTTTGATATAATATGATAAATAAGTAAATACGATAAAGAGGCAATCATGAAGTAATTGCTAACTACGAGTTATCATATTTTCATCATGCTGGAGTCCGCAGGATATAATTAATTGCGAAATAAATGGTGTGCATTTAAGAGAATGAACCTCTGGAATAACCATTTTACATGTAATAATACGTTAAATGAGTATGAAAACTCAGGAATGCGTTATATCAATAAATATAGAATTAATCGAATGAATTATCTTAACTTCTAACAAAATTCATTGTATTTTCTTGTTAAATAAAGTTCTAAAACTGATTCAGGAGCAAATATATTGGCAAGAATAACATTCAATTCAAGGAAAAATATTTCCTTCTCTATTACCAAGTCCTTTCACGAATCATAGGAATTTATTATTATTTTCCTTGTACGTAGTACGTACAGTTGTCGATACAAAGCGCATTACACACACTCATCATAAATTATTTCAAGCTCTTGAAACGTTCTTAAGTACACATATTCTGCGGTGAAACATAGAGACCGTTCTTTGATCGATTGATAGTCCGTGTTGTATTCTAACGAGGCAAATGATAACGCGCGCGCACGCTTATAATGCCCTTTTTTTATTCAACCTTACAAGTTTCAAGGATCTTTCAACGTGCGAATTATATATTTTTCCGGTGATATATGGGTTAGTAAAATATGTGTAATTTTGCATAATTTTATGTAAAAGTTCAAATCGATCGAATTGAAGATCTTACAATCATGATGAGATAACGTTATTTTCAATCTCTTATATAATTACAATTATCCTCCAAGAAAAAAATTTCGTCACTCGTAATATTGGGCTTTATTATCTTATAGTTGACCTTATTAAGCGTACGTAAGCGAGGCAGGTCATGCAATTCGACCAATTGAATCGTATTCCAAGCAACCATAAAAATGATGTGCGTCATGATAATTATATGTATACGTAACACATTCATTAAATATATAATTTGTTTCTACTTGTAAGGAACGGAAAAAAATGTTTTCTAGTCAACAAAATATTATCAATTAACATTTATTAGATAATACTTTGTTATATACGAAGTTATATACATATATAATGAGAAAACGTGATAAAGGAAAATGATAAATTACAAAATAAATAATAAATAATGAATATTTTTAAAATTTTAATAATATTAATATTAATAATTTTAATATTTTTTAAAAACATTATCTAATGTTTACTGAAAAATAGAATTGTTTAGTAAAATAGTACAGTGAATTTGGTTCATCTTACAATAGTTGTAATTATGTGCAACAAATATCGATGTGCAAAAAACGACTTTTTTATAGCTCAAGAATTTTCTAGTTGCGTAACATGATAAAAGAACGTGCCAATTACTGTGGGAATTGATCTATGGACAAGGAAACCTAAAGATGTTTCTATTCGAGTTTAATTAACTGCGGATAAGAAACATAAATGGTTTCTGATATATATTTAGTCATGTATTTTAGTCATATAGCTTCTTAAAGTTGACTTCTTTCCCAGTGACAATTTTATTATAAGTGTTAACATTTGGTGTAAATTAAAGTGATGCATGGTGGTCTATTCTATACGTTTATAGTAATTGTAGTTATTGAAATTGCAATATTTAATAAGAAAAATAGGACACTACATTACACATTATATTATGCAAAGTTAGTTCCTAAATTTTTAGAAAATTTCTCCTACAAATTGATGTCTTATTGTGATCACCATTCGTTTGGCAGATGAATTATAACGATTTTGATTCCTAATAGCCAATTTCCAATGGTGATTAAAACTGCAGTTTCTCCGATAAATATTTTAAAGCAAGGTGAAAAAAACTCTCTAACTCTATAAATCATGTTATCTGTGATTATTGAAAAAATTTCAATTTGCTTGACTAATGTTACGTCTCGTTAAATCACTTTCAACTCTTTGTTCCCATTCAAAGTAAAAAGATTTTATCTGAAGATTGGATCTCGTCAATTTTTATATGTGCGCAGGAACACAGAAATAGAAAATCTTAATTTTGTAGAAATTTATTTGCCTGTTAAAGGGAAAATTGTTTTCTCAGTCTCAAACATTGAAATGATCTTGGACAATACACTAAGATCCCAATATTAAAATTGAGATGACCTTGAAATACCATGAATGTTACCATGAATACTATTTTCATCCATGTCCAATCTTTGATTGCAATATGTCTACAAGTAGCAAATCATGAAAAGTCATGGAATTAGATGGATATAAATTTGAGAGCTACCGCCCCACAAAGATATGTCATTGGTGTGGACCATAGTCACTGTTCATTTGAGGTTAAACACGCCGACTTCCTCAACTAAGGAGCACGTGGCCCGTCGTATAACTGATTTCGAGAGCAGCGAGTCGCAGGAATCGCGCAAATCGAAGGACAGCCGATCGGGACTCACTTTAGTGGCGTTTCTGCGTCCAGCCGATGTCCCGTATAGCGTGGATGCTCTCTTGCGCGGCATTTTCATCCACGCGGCGGCACACGCGACAGTATCGACGCGTGTTTACCCACGTTGGCGAGAGAAGCGCGTTGCTTCGCGATATGCCAAAAGAGGATGCGACGAAAGGCAGGTGTGGCAGAGCAAGGCGAGGCGAGGCGAACCGAACCGAAATGCGGGCACCGGTGCAACGGAACGCCGCACCAAATGCACAACCGCCGCCGCACCGTTGACGGCTGACGCAACCGTTACGTCGGCTCCTTTGATGACGATACTACGCGAACTACTATCGTGATCAGATCACGTGACCCAGAGAACAAGCGGCCCACAGTCGTCAGCCCAAGCGATCGATGGAGGTTTACTGCGCCGACGCGGTGCAGCAACTATTGCGTGCGAAATGTAACGCGTAACATTTTCAAGTATTGATAGACAAACACTATCCTTTTGAATAACTTATTCGCCTACGATACACACAGATACACAAGCAAAAAATGATTACAGTATAATAATATGCTGAGTCGAAGATGTATTCGCTATGGATAAAAACTGCGAGATTTATAAGCTTAATCAAGCTCAATCAAGAAACGAATCTTCGCTTCAGAAAAGCGGATCTTTGTTAAAATAATTACAATCAATTTGATATTACGTTTTAATACCAAAAGTCAATTGTAATTGAATCAATTTTTTTAAGGAGAAATTCAAAATTAATAGAAAGGATAAAAATTGAAGGATCAATATTTGTGAAGGAGAGAATCCATTAAAGAGATTTCTTATCTTAGCTGTGTTGGACGATTTCGGGGATAAATTTAGATGTTTTTATCTTTGCATTTAAAATTGTAACATAGATAACGAGATAAAAAATCTAATATTGTATTAGGAATATAAGTCTATAAGCACTATTTGTTAAAGAATCATCCTATAAAGAAAAGTTTCGAGAATATTAGAAATTTTCAAATTCTGCGAAAGCAATTGTGGTACATATATGTATAATGTAATACACGACGAACAAGTTGGATATGACCCCGCTGACTCATTTGATGAAACTGTGTGCGTTTTATGCATGATATATCATTTTATATTTAATTGTTATTCACTGAATCAAACAGGGAAATGAAATGATATCACATGTGCATCATAAAACGGAATGCACCTTGTCATCATATTTTTATGTGCCATTATCAAATTACTTCTTTATTAATAAGTCTGTAAGAACGTGATTCTAATATTTATTAAATATTGTATTTTAAGAAATGCTTATTAATTGAAAAAGAGTAATTTCGAAAGTTTGATGTTTACTTTGTATATTTGGATCATTATTTGCAATATTGGAAGATTTTACTGTATATATTTTAAAATTAGGATATTAATCTTTTTATATTAGCATGAGAGAACTTAAATCTGCTCGTAATAAATTAGTATGAGGCTTTAAACACTGTAACGAATGTTTAGTTGATTCGCGAAGAGAGAAAGAGAAAATTTAAATATAAAGTAAAGTATAAACTAAATGAAAGAGTAATTAAACTACTTAATTTCAGATTCAATTCAAAAGTGTCAAAAATAGGCTGATATCAAAATTAAAAAGAAAAATATGAATTCAAAATTTTTTTTCTGCTGTTATGCCGTGTAGAGATTGTCGCCACTTTTCTTTTGAATCCATGATTGAATCTATTTGATTCGACTTTTCTTGCGTCGCATATTGTAAACACAACTTCGGGCGAATAACTACTTTTTGGCGACGTAAGAAAATTCATGTAAATGTTATCGAATTCGTTAATTAATGCCGTCATCCGTAACATGAATCAAGGAAACTCTTCAATTCAGTCGAGAAAAAGATTTTCAAAAAATTCCTTAATTCCGTCACACGACAGCAATTGCAAGTAGGTTATATTAATTGTGGTTACAACAACGAAAAATATAAATATGCATTTTCTTGATAATTATTCAATAAATCACTTGTTAAAGAATAATAATATAATATCATGCCAGATTGAAGACATTGCCCTCGTCAAAATGCATATCGGATACAACGAGAGATCTATCGGAAGATAGTAAAATGCTTGGTTATGGCAAATCTTCGACTCGAGTTAATAAAATGGTAGCTGTGCGATATATATTATGAATATGAAATATTCCAAAGTGTATGCTATGTCAAATTATATTAACACGTTCGAGTATCAGGTTTCCAATGCGAATCTCTCTGCGAGAAAATTGTGGAACAGTTCGTCCAAAATGACCAGAAATTCCATCGCTGTAAATGACGTAATCGAAGAAGGTTTTATAATTGAAATCTTTCTATTTTACAATAATAAGAAACGCTAATTGGAAAGAAGTTAACTGGATGTCGACTAGAAGTTGACTAAAATATTTCCATGCATAACAAATTTTATTAATGTTTTTAAAACATAACATAATTTTTCATCAAGCGTTTAGAGCAGTCGTAGTTTTATTTAACATTATATATCCGCGAAATGTATTAATTTCAGAAAATGAGCTTATTGGCATGTTGATGAAAAAACTGCATTTAGCTGAATCACAAATACGAAAAACACAGTGTGATTTGACAAAAGCTGAGGAAAGCTTGCGAACGAAGGATCAGGAAATTGGACGCTTAAAGCGGAAGGTTCTCTGTACGCTTTTTTTAATCTGAGAATGTAGTATTATCCCATAATATTCATAATCAGCTTGACAGAGAGCTATTTTTTTAATCTGTATTTGTATGTTTAGTATATATATGTTAGTTATAAATTATTTATTTCTTTGCGTATTTTGTTCTTTTATTTTTCTGTACTTTGGAATCTATGAACTGCTCTTACAATGTTTCCTCTTTTTCGGATATCACGTTATTTTGATAGATTAAAGATTGGGAATCTAAATACAAGAATCAGGAACTGCTACGAAAGAAAGAACAACGAAGTCAGGCTAATAATTCCGAATATTTCTATCAACGATGCCTAACGCTAGAACATAAGATCGTCGAGATAGAGGTTCAAATTTATATTTTAAATAATGCTTTAACATATTTAAAATATAGGTAGAAGTTAGCAATTGCGTCAATTTGATATTGCAGAAATTCTTGGCGGATTATGGATTAATATGGGTGGGTGATTCTAAAAATGCAACAAACGTAAATGGTGGTAGCAAGTAATTAGACTAATCGTTTTGTTATTAGCTAGAAGCAGGAGTGATAGATCTAATCAGTAATAATTCCGTTGTAGTAATTATATCAACGCCTGTTACGAACAGTTAATTGCGAATATCGATCAGTTGAATCTAGCTGCAGGAAAGGGTGAAGTTCACATTCATCATAACGAGAAAGGAGGAGGAGCTACATTCAAAGTAATATTCTTGCTTTGCAATATATACATTTGCATAACATTTCTATATCATGTAAATATAATGTAGAATATTACTTGTGAAACGAACGTTTGTGAACACCTGTATGTGATACATTTTTTATATACTTCACAAATATCGAAGATAAATGTATTTATTAATTGTTGATTAGTTGGAATTAATATATTTGTTAACTAGTGATTACTTTTAATTATTATCGTTAATCAGCACTTTTTAAATGCATTTTAACTAAAGACTCTTTCCTGCTTGGCATTGAAAATTTATAAAAACGGTATGAGAGTCAATGGTGGACCATTACGATCTTACGATGATCCGACTGCAATCTCGTTTATCCGTGATATTTTGGATGGATACTTTCCATCTGAATTGCAACAAGAATATCCGGACGGAGTGCCCTTTATGGTAAATGTACAATAGAATAGTAATAGGATTTTGGAATATATACGAGATATTCTCAGTATTTTTTGTTCTTAAAAACAAAACGGGGTTAAAAAAAAATTTAGTTAGTCTCCATTCTTCTTCACAATTAATATTTTTTACTTACGCCTACAGATAGAAGATCATAGAACAGAATTGCACATAGAGGATTCTACTAGCTTTCCTGGTCAAGGATATCGGTTGGGAAAACAATCTCCAGTAGATAACGTGTTATCGACAAATTCATGCAGATCAAATAATGTTTACCAAAGATCTACTCGTGCAAACCTTTCGTCAAAAGATAGCACTTCTGAGAACATTCCGCTTTTATCACTTCCAAGCCGGTATCATCACTTATTTTATTTAATTTGAACAAATAAGTATTGAAGTACTTATAATAATATATTGTAATATACATCCCAAAAATAGACAAATTATTTTATAATTATGAAGAAATTGCAAACTGAATATAATTATGTAAATTGCTAAAAACTTTACATATCTTCATAAAACGCTTATATCTTATATATTTTTATTAGCTTATTGGATCCTAAAACCTCTTCGGAATCGTCTTCTGCCGACTTATTTTCTTTAAGATCACAGATTTTGGCTTCGCATAATAATGTCTGCTCTAATTCTCACATTCAGTCTCATATTAATGCTGAATTAGCACGAAGCATTCGACACGAGAAAGTAAATATTATTAAAATTGTTGAATATCGAAATATTACAATCATTAATAAATATTATATATATTGTATATATTACTGTCCCGAAAAAGAGAGAATTGGCTACGAAAAATATGGAATTTGACATATCGATGAACGGGCAGTCACCTAGGTCGAAAGAAACCTTGAGTTACTCTACAAGTAGCAGCAGAACGAGAAATCATTGCCTTTCTGATAGATCGTCATCAAGGTTTTTTTCCCATATAAAATATAATCCATATTTATGTACCTACTTAAATTAAATTTTCCCAATAGGCCGAAAATTAATGATAGTCGCCTTCGATTACGTTCAAAATCCGCGAGTTCGTCTGGAGGGCGACTGGGTGTCAGTACGCAATCGGTATTACGGTCAAAAGCGTTAAGCACAGCGGAAATCAATAATATTGGTGAGCTCAATAAGATTGCTAATCTTGTCTCTGAATGTTTAGAGACGAAACATCCTCGAGGTTCAAAATCGGCTACTTGCGCAAGAAAGTGTACGGTGAGAAACATATTCGGATATCAACAGAAAAAGATTAAATTAGATAGAAATTATATAAAAGTCAGATGTACGTCTAGGTATGATCTATTTGAAAATTCAAGTTTCATATATTTCAGCCTCCGTTATTGCGTCAGGTTAATGAAGCGACTAGAAAACCTAACGAGTTGCGATTGAAAGTTAGATCGTTAACCGGTAGTACTATATATTTGGTGCATGTGTTGGCCGATGAACCGGTGACAAAATTATATGAATTACTTGACAAAGCTATGCAAACGTCCGGGCATAGAGAATATAAAGTAGTGCTGAGCGGGTAAGGAAATATCTGACTCTTTATCACAATTGAAATTTTTAATTTACAAAAATTATTTAATTTTTCATCTACCGTTCCTAACATATCGATATCGTTGCTTAAAGATATTCGCCGAAGAGATTGCAACGTGTAGATACATCCTTAAAAGAAAGCGGAATTAACAGAGATTGTGTTCTCCATCTTGTGACCGATTGAATATTTATCAGCTCGTGAAAATAAATTTTATATATCCATATGTTGTGTAAAGACAAATACGTAGAAATATGTAATATTTTAGAATCTTTGATATGTAAATTTACAAATAAAACATGTACGGGCAATTAATATTGTATTCCATATTTTTTAACTATATTTTTTAACTAATTAATCTTTTGTGGAATTAATACGTAAATATATAAAAACAATAATATACAGAAACAATGTAGAAGCAAAGTTATCTAATTAATAATAACAAAATTACGAATAATTGCAAGTATACCTGTTATCAATAATAGGTAATTATTTTTTATTATTTTTAAATATCATATTTAATTAACTCAATATAGATTTTGTTGATTAATAACTTATTGATCTAGTGAATAGCAATCACTTTAGTGAGATAAATAATAGGTAGCATTTTCGAAAAATGTTGATAAATGTCGGATGATCAAACAGGTTTTACCTTAACATGATACACATACTCTTTAATATTGATATTTAATAGACTATATATTTCTTAGTTAATATTTGCATACAAAATGTAGGGAGCATAGCATCTTCGTAATAATTAATCCCAGGCCATTGCTCCGTGGTTTAGGTGTGTCCGTAAATTAGAATGGATTGATTTACGACTCTGTTCCTAATTACATACCGGCACACAAAGATCTAACATTAAATACGAAAATGTAACTCGATATTGTCATTAAAAATCTCTTTTTTCTCTTATTACTAATATTGAAATTTTATCCTATTGTACTTTTATAAACTATTGTCTATATTAACAAAATCCATGAGATATACAATGGATTAAGTAATGGTAGTATCGGCGTACGCCGATATCAGGAAAATTATGGAATTTCCTATCATCATCAACGCAAACCACGTCGTGATAGCTCCGAGCTCTATCAATCAACGGCATAGGACTCGCGCAGATTTATCTATGGGCTTCCGTCGACGGATCTGTCAGCGGATGCTTTTCGATCAGATATCGCGGTGGGACGGTTAATAAGAGGTCCTGTTTGTCAATCGATATCCAAACTAGATGACACTCCCCCAGGAAATTCCTGGCGTATTCCGCTCGTAAATTTCATGAGTACCAAAGCGAGCTGGGCTCCGCTTAAAGGCATAATTACTGAAAGTGAAAGAACGCAACTTAATCGAGCGTTTACATCATCGTAAAATGGAAAATTATAGAGAAATCTTGTCTCTTTGTATCAAACTTTATATCATATTTTCCTGTTAAAAACTAAATAGAGTTTCCAGACTGTGGTAATACATGCATGCAGTAATGAAACATGCTTTTATTTCGAAATATTTGTTTTAGCGCGTTTTAAAAAATAATATAAATAATTAAATAAAGTTATGTTATATGTGGGTATATCCTGATAGTACTGAAAGCCAAATATTGTTGCTAATTCTTTGTGATAAATTAAACCAAACAGACAGTGTGTTATCACCTTTTTTCACATTTCCAATTGCCAATAATTTATCTCGTTTCAAATTGAGATAAGTCTCAATTTGTTTCTAATGAATAGGCTACGATAAATTCCGTTTTTGTCGCTTGTAACATGCGATTTGTTAACGAATCGATTAAACGGCAAAAAGTGGAGTAATTGTGTCCAGACAAAGAAAAGCAAGGACGACATCTGCTTTAAAGCATTGGGACATTAATGGATCTCTCCATTGGTTTTAGCGCCTCGACAGACAAAAAATAAAAAGGGAAAGAAAAGGAAAAAGACGACGCGAGGCAAAAGGATCGTTTGTTCCAGGGATCTCGTTAAGCAATATTGAAAATTTTTCTCTCATTTACGAATCACGTTCGAGTCGCTCAATAAATTTGTCTAACATTTTGCACGTAACTTCGATTCACTCAAAAATTCGAAGATATATTATAATTTATATATCAATCAGGTATCAGTATAATTATATTAGTGCATAAAATAAAAATTTAATAAAAATTTAAAACAAATTAAATTTTTATTAAAAAAAGGAAAAAATAAATATATTAATATATACTGAACATTTTTTTAAAAATGTATTTTTATTTATTAATCATGTCTTTATGGGGTACATTCGTCGTAAGAAATGTTTCAAGAAGTCGACTATAAAACCCCGTGTTAATGGTTAGCTGCTTCTGAAAGCTTCGCTCTAGGGATGATTGCGTTCCATGTACCTTCCCCTCCATTTTTCTTCTGGTCTCAAATGTCGGGGAATGACCTGGATTTTAACGTACTCTCTTTGAAGCGACACGACTAAACGAATGCAATTTTCGATATGGCGTAGCTGTAACGTACTCGCTTCAATTTAATCTTTTTCTAATAATTTAATGCTGTTTCAATAGCACGAAATACATGATACGATGGAGGCATAGAATTAATGATATAATTTATATATTTATAATATATTTTTGACATTTGTAACAGTATTCTCCTCTTTCTGTATTGTGTTAATGATATATGTCGCGATCTTTAAAAACAATTGCAAACATAAGTTAAATTTTGATTATAATTATCAATTTTTGATTCGACAGATTCGGTAATGATTAAGTTCTTTGCTAAGAACGGATACAATATTTATCCTACAAAACTGACAATTAAACAAAAATTGAAATAAAAAACCTTTGGAACATAAAACGATAACGTGTAAACCTTTTCGAGTTGTTGCTAGAGCTTATTCCATTTGTTATTTCTGCTCGAATTGCATTTTTCGGTTGTATAGACTGAATCTTTGACTCGATTAGAGAATCTGGGAGTTGCGCAGTCGTTCAGTCATGCATATTTCACCGGTTGCTTTATCTGCTTTGTTCTACGGACATTGGATTATATACGATTATGGATTTGCAACAATTTCCTCGAAATCCGTTGAATATAGTCGCCTTGTCTGTTTCGTAGATCGTTGAGAGCCATTGGACGCGCCATCGCGATCGATATCTTGCCGATAGATTTGTCGAGAATTCAATCAGGTTAGCATAAAAATTGTATCGATAGTTGTAAATGATCGATTAAAAGTAGAGATCTTCTGAAACATTTTATTCAGACATTAATTCTGATTGACATTGTATTGACTTTTTGTCTTCTTCATGAAGTGCTGTGCTGATAGAATTATTTAAAGAAATGCAATTGTGTAAAATTATACCACAAGCGTTCGGCGAATATTCTTCTGAAAGATTGATGGCTACACCAGCTGTTTATATAAAAGAATTACGTAAAGAAACAGACAAAAGCTGCAACATTGTTGTCGCGATTGCGAAATAAATTGGATAGCCTGCGCGGATAACGGAGTTTGAGAAAAGAAGTAGAGATAAAACGTGAACAATTGAAGAATACATCGAAAAAGCGAAAAATGAAAAGAATGGAACATTAACTTCGCAATTTTTGTAATCTTTTAATTTTATCATAAAAAAATGTTCTTTTGAGGAAATTTATGCGTTTATAAAATAATATTTAAAACTACAAGATTTTAAGTGTTCAAATTTATTTTTCTTCAGTAACGGCGCTGTTAATTTACGCCGTTTTTATGATTAATTTTTCAATAATAATTAAGTTCTTATTAAAAAAGAGTCTGTCTTTAGCGTTACAATCACGGAAATTTTACATTGCTATAATAATAACGTTGAGGTAATAGAAATATGTTTTGTATCCATAATTTTTATACATATACAGATTGAAATTTTTACGAGCGTCAAGAAAGTTTATTTTCTGTATTATTAAAAACTGTACAATCGGTGTTCAAATTTTTTATTTCGATGTAGAGAAAGTATCCAGTTGTTTTCGCTGATAATAAACACATTCATAAACATTCCTTTTATAACTAGTATTTGATTACTAACGCGCCGACAAATTATTGTCAGCTTCTAGCTTGAGCTGTTTGTTTTCTTTTTATGCAAAAAAAAAATAAATCTTAGCTTTGTTGAAAAAAGCAGTAGCCATAAATGTATCGTAACAATATTTTTTTTTAATTTCACGAAAGTGAAAATATAGAAATATTTCTTGTGCAAGAATTGAAATTAGTGTGCCGCAATTCTATTGTTGCACACATTTATGATATAGATTTGCCCCACTGAAAATTTGTTCTCACAAATATACGTATAAGATTTCGTCGCATTTGTTAATAAATTTTTTGACGAATGTTATTAACGATCTCAATAATTTAGGTAAATTTACTTCCGCCTTTTAACTGTACGTATTGTGGTATAAGCATATCGAATTGAAAATGTGTATCGCGAATTGTTTGTTGTAAGTGGCAGTAGAGATTTTTTATTTTAACGGTTTTTTTTTCCTTTTCTTTTTATGTATTTTTCTCGTAATGTAACGTTAAATATTCGCAAATACGTTATACACACTTGCAGAATTGTTTTCACTCTTTCTTTTTCAACGGCTAATAACGTATCAATAAACTCGCTGAACGGCGTAATAATCTCTTTAACAAACAGCGATACACGCACGTAATAATATGTTCGCAATACGGAACGTCGCAATGTATAGCTAAAAACTGTCGAACAGTTAATTGGGTTTATCTCGTTACCTTTTTCTTCTCGTGAAAAACACTCGCTGTACACATGATAATAAACTATTCGATTGTGTCAAAATATGACTAGGTCTTTTTGGCGCATTCGCACGCTTCACGGATTTCCTCGCCTATACCGTCCGCGCGCGTAATATGTACCTTATACGTATATACTATGTACACACGTCGACGCATACACACATATACAGATTTATACATATACATTAAGTGTATTTATAAATTACACATACATTTATACAAAAGATTTATAAATCTCATTTCAACAATTAGCGTATTTATTTATAATACAGTGAGGGATGGTTAGATGCCAGTGATCGTATTCCTTTACTATCATTCGAAGTATCTTACGACTCAATTTCTGACTCATCTTTCAAATGAAAATTTTAGAGAACTGCCAATATTTCTTTTTAAAAAGATTAATTTTACATTAACTTACTTATTTACTACTCTCAATATAACAAAAGAGAAATTTCCTATAATATACATATATCAAACACATACATTTATCATTATTTATTATTAGAGATTTATGTATTATATTTGTTGCGATTTTGTTATAACTCAAACTTGGAATTTTCTTATTATTTTAATTAGATGATTAGAGTAGATTCCTGAGTAACAATACGTAATATATTTTTTATTAATTTTGAATTTAGTTTTATTTCTCACTAATTACATTTTTATGATAAGTTTAGAAATAACATTTAAATTATTAATGTAAATTGTTTGTAACAATAAGCAGTATTCTCATATTTACCTTTTGTTATTCGACTTTTGTACCTGCATGTTTTTGCTCGAAATTATTGAACGCGTGACATTTGTTTAGGCTAAATCTGGCAGTGGTTACTAATTTCAATTTGGTCCGAGTCATCCGATACAGACGTTCATGTTTTATTGCCCTGCATTTATCGCGCGTTTGTTGCAAGTTATATGCCAATTTTATTCAGCCGTTAGTGGCCTACGATCATTTAATTGTTTATTGGTTCCGTTTGCCTTGCATTTTTCATTGAGTTTATGAAAGGTAAAATATTTGTCTTGTGAATATTATGGGTATTGTGGCAAATTTGCGGCCCAAAATTATTGTCACTGGAAATTGCATTCCAATAAACATTGGCATCGCGTTAACGTGCAACTATGTCTGCAGTGATCTTACGATTGACGCTCGCATTCACACATAGAATTGTGTAAAATTGCAGTTACAATTATATTTTGTACCGCTAAATTAATTACATGTTACTGCCAATAAATTAAGAGATAATTGTGAATATTTATTTAGATATACTGCAATGGATAATGTGATGTTTCGTGATTCATTATTGGTTCCTGCGAATAGTTTTTAACAGTTTTTAACCTACGAATCGCAGTATGGATGGAATACAATTCTATATGTGAAGATCAGTCGATTTAACAAGCGATTCGATTTTCTAAATCCACTTCGATATGTTTAACTTGAAATTCGGCTATGACATTTGGCTCGCCTTCCGTCGTGGTGTCGCGGACGGTTTCTGGTCTGTCCGGTTGGATACTTCGAACAAATGTCCGGTTTTCCACTCGATTATACCGTTGCCTCGGGAAATTTCGAAACACCGGCAATTCCTGGTCAACTGGCATTGCGCGTGGCATTCCATTTTCCATACAGTTCCCATTTATTCCGATTGATCCGTAACGTTCACGCACTGGCACTTTTCAATTTAATACCGGCCTCGATTCGGTTGATCGGACTGTATATTCTACAGAGGGATGCGCATTGTTTGCGAACAGCATTCCGTTGTCTTCGTAGACAGGCGAATCCTGATAGGTTCCCGAAATCCACTCGTTCGTTGATGCTGTCTAGGCAAACAATTGCACGTGAGCAACTACGTAGTTTCCATCCATTATCCCGATTAGTGGCACGCATCCTTGCTGCACCAACGTCGATTCCCTCGATGCCTTCGTGGATACACACGGGATCATACTGTGCAATCTCGATTTTGCTTAATCTCCGAATATCGCGAATTAGTTATCACACGTCTTTTTACCATAAGTCCCCCGATTGAAGCAATACGAGAATGGCGTTATCGGAGCGTCTCTTAGAGAGCGTAACACGCGAGAAACACTAATTCCGATCACGGCATTCCCGTCCAATTGACCTCAGTCTCAGATTCTCATTTGCACGCTTTCGATCGATGATTCGACATCGTCGTCGGCGCGGGATGGCCCTCGTTGCGGTTTACCAACCCGCTCCGGCGACTATATATGCTATAAGCATGTCTCTTTCTGATCTATCACGTTGATAACCACGGAGGCCTGAGTGGGCAGTTCCTTTTGGACAGGTACACCTGTCGGCACCTCTTCGAGTATTGGTCAAAGGGTCGTGGTCCTCGAGACCGTTGCCGAGGGTGGCGGTGGCGGAGGAGGCGGCGGGGAAATTACTACGTCCGGTTCACCCGCAAGGTCGCAGTCGAATCTCCAGAGAATATTCTCAGGATGGTCACCTCCTAACGCAGTACAATAGTTGATAATATAATTATTAATACAGTTAATATATAAATATAATTCTAAATATAATTCAGCGGCATTATATGTGTATGCTTAAAAAGCATAAATATTTACGATTCCATGTCAATATGCTTATACAATTAATTCTTTAATCTTTGGATTTCTAAATAATTTCTTGCTATGTTTATTCAAATCAGGAGCATCAGAGATTTTTAAAATATATTTTTAAAATATATTTTGGAATAAATATAGGGATATAATTATTTTATACATGTATTTTTTAGGATGCATAGATAATTAATATCTATACAGATTTATTATTAGAAGATTAATAAGAATAGCAAAAAAAAATAAGAGAAAATATTTAGACCATAACGTGAAAAAATTATATTATATTACATAAAAATAGTTTTAACAATAATTTGATATTTTAAAGCAAAATTATTTCTTTCCGTATGTAATACCCATGGACAAATCGAATCTGTTAACCTTTTTTTTTATTTCGTCGTCTTGTAACTGAAACGATATTTCAAACTAATCTATGCAAATTTAACTGTAACGATTAACGTGCCACTTGGCCTGGCAAACATAATAGGACGGGACAAGTGATACTTGTGGCAAGATAGATGGTTGTACCTTGACCCAAGATGATGCCCGAAGAGCCCCGTCTCTGTCTCGGCGGAGGTGCTTGGTGTTTGTGCGAGTGGTGGCTGTGAAGATGTGAATGTGAGTGGCAGTGCGTGTGACGTGTGTGCGTGGGGGTGGCTTTGCACGGTGGCGGTTGCTGTTGTTGCGATTGCTGCTGCTGTTGCTGCTGCTGTTGAGGACGAAGATGAGGACGAGGCCTGTGCTAGGTGTTCCCGCCATGGGACATTTGATCGAAGCTCAATGATTTCTTCATCTCCGTCATCGACAACGCACCACCCTCCTGCTGAGAGATAAATAAGCGCAAGTGTTAGCTATATCGGGCCGACTAGAGGAGAGCGGAGTTTCTGCAATGAGAGGAGCGGACAGAGGAGTTATTAAAAGTTGTGTTGCGAAGTTGTTAAAAAGTTTTTGAAGGTAGGCAGGAGGGTTGTTATTGGGCCTCCACGCGCCAGCGTTGATAACTATGTCTTTAGAGTTGTCTGTTTGAAACGACCGGCACGTGCTTCGCGAAACGATTTTTTTTTTTTACGGAAATTCCGGGATAGTAGCGCCGATATGGCTTTCGGATCACGTTTTTAGAATGAAACGAGGTGTGCGCGGACATATCGCTGGTTAAAAGATTGCTGTATGAAGGCGAAGCTTGCGGTTAATAAAATTTCTCTGCGAATAGTCTAGATTCTAGATCGATCTTGTATAAATAATTTAAAAGGCTGTGAAAGATAATTACTAATCTGCACTAATGCAATTCAACACTGAATAATTCTAATATCAATACCAACAAAACAGTTAAAATATGTTAAATGTATTTTAGTTTTATTTAATATTCTATTTTGTTTGATGAGTTCATTATTTTTTCCTTCGCATTTAAGATATATATATTATAGATGTTAGGTACGTTATATATACGAATTTTGTCTGAATGGGCTGCGATTTACTGCTGTACACTTATAAATCAGCACGAAAATCATGGTTTGAGGAATGATAATATGAGAGATAATGAACAGAGAGTACTCGAATCTCTGGTGTAGACAGAATAATGCGGCCAGTGTGGTATATTGGAATTCAGAATGCGCCGTGTTCACTGGAATACAATTGCATTTTCTCAACAATACGGATGTCGCTATTTACAGTGTATCATCAACAAATGGTACATTAACATTGAATTAATTGCTGTCGAATAGTCGAACCGCTTTACGTGTTACGGTACAATATATATTTTAATTGCGGACACTTTACAGATTCTCATGCGTGTGTGAAATTACATACCGCGTGTAGAACAACTTTTTTTTGTTTCAAAGTAATCACTTCTTTTATCTTGAAAAGAATGAATGCTGACAATGATTGAAGAGTTTGAATGGTTATGGGGTCGATTCTACAGTCGATCACTTTACATTATCGTAGCAGTATTTGACAGGTGGTATTTTAGAAGATATATCACGTATTTTCTCTCTTTCAAGAGAACATAATTAGATTTAGAAGTAACAGTTATATTTAGCTTTCAACGGATCATTCAGCTTTGATGAAATTTAAATGTCTCTAATTCTACCGTGGTACGATTGTAATTCATTTTAAAGTGAGAGAGAGAGAGAGAGAGAGAGAGAGAGAGAGAGAGAGAGAGAGAGAGAGAGAGAGAGAGAGAGAGAGAGAGAGAGAGATCCTATGTAATGAATGTGAAAGAGATGTGACATTAAGACGGAAAGAGATGTGAGAGAATGATAGATTATCGCTTTTGTCACATAAATATTTTTTGAAAGCGTGTCAATGATTCAAAAGTTTATGAGTGTTAATGAAAAGTGTTGTTTATCTTAATAATTCGAATCATCTAAATGCCATACAAGACGAATTAATTGTTTAGTCTTTAGAATGTGTAATATTCATTTAGAATTTTTCAGAAAAATTTTTTTATAATTCTTTTACTGATTTAAGAATATATTTTACAAATGATAAGAAAGGATCTTTGTGTGAAATAATTTTTACTCAAGTTATACAACAAAACTAACCGTTAACTCTAAGAATTGTGTGATAAATTATCAGATTTATTCATCTTCGATGATTTTATATATATAGGAAAAATGATTTCTCTTATTATAAAATATAGCAACAATTTAAAGTTTTTTTATTTAATAGAACGTTTTATATTCAGAACATAAAGAAAGAGTTAAAAGACTAACATAATTTGAAGAAATTATTACATTTGTCTTACAAGCTCTTTTCACAAAGTTTAAAGATGCTTGCGCATTTAGGCAAAAAAATATTTTGTTCATCTTTAATACTATATTTCTTATTTCATTTTTGAGACTAACTTTTGCATAGGTGTATTTTTATATATTTTCAAATGAAATATTCCTAATAGGTTTGCATCAAAAGATAACTTTCTATAAAAATATAACATGTACATATAATATGTCTTCCTAATATCAAGTTTTCAAGATTTTTACGTCCGGTATACATCGCTCGAAAAGATAAATATGTTAAATAGATATTGATTATATTCATCATGTAATGTTTGCATTATGAAACTAAATCTTCGTAGAAATTTCACTAAATTGCGCTCGAAGGTATAATGCGCAATAAAGCGCACACTGTTGTTGTTGCAAGTTTATGCATGCAATTATGTCTAACCTACAATACTGCAATTGTAAGCATATGTGACATAATTCTGCATTGCAGGCAGTTCGTCAACTGCGGAACATAAAACGTGCGAAAAATATTTTGCAACGGAATGAAATATATTTTATGTAATGTGCACTCGCGTGTTAAAGGAAGGCGTCTCATAATCTAAAATCAATACAACGGCTATTAAAAAAATAGAAACGTATACATCGTCATCACAACACTTCACAGATATATACGGTGAGTGTACAATAAATCCGTGCGAAATCCGCGTGGGAGGCAATTGACGTTTATAATACTCCCTTGTCAAATGATGTGCGGAATCTTTCTCGTATACCCATTATTTCTCTGATTTTGAATTTCTATGATGAGAACAAACGGGAGGAAATATTTGGGGGGCTTCTTGGAAGCTGTACTCTCAGCACGGTAATACGAATCGCGAATCTCCGACTGGTATTGCATATGCGTATTGGTGTTTTCAGAAGTACTTTTTCGCTAACACAAAGACGAGAAAAATCCGGAATCCGCGTAATTGGCCCCGTTCGACGAAATTGAATTACCGTGGAATGAGTACCGCTTCGCGCGACCAACAATCGGCTCTCCTCGGAAAGCTCCTGTAATCTGCTGCCCGCATTTCTACCTCTCCTGATTGTTTCGCCACTTTTTTTCCGCGAATATGTACGCCAATGACAATTTGTTCAAGTCCGTCGCAAGTGTCTGAGCGGAATTCGTAATTCGCTGAAATACAAGTTATTTAAGTCGTTGTTACTATCTTCAAAATTGAATTAAAGATAAAAAAAATATCGATTGCGGAGTTTTGCGGAGCAAATAAAATAGTAGCAATAAAACTAGTAGTCTCCTCGAAGATGCCGATTGATAAAACTTGATCGCGTGCCCGTCGTGTGGGACAAGACTTACACCATTTAATCGCGGGATCTCGATGCTCGGTATGTAGGTCGTCTCCTCGTGTTCGGAGGAGCAGAGGCGCGTCCTTCTCCTGGAGGAGCGCGGGCTGCAACGGCCGCACAGCCCGGTGGCCGCGGAATTGCGCGATTTCGCGGCGGGCCTCTGCCGGGAGCCGCAGCGGACGGCGAATCGCAATTCCGAGGCCATCTCGGCGCAGAGTGACTGTGTCGAGTGGTTAAATGATGATCGATGCGCAGGAGGTGCACGTGCGTGTTTACCGTCCAAGGAATAATCGTCGACGATGGCAGGCAGTGGACGCCGGTACGACAGGTACAACATACACCAAGAGACAATACACAAAACGATCATACGATACCCGAACGCATGCAAGGTCGATTTCTCCGTCGCGTGAGGCCGTCTGTTCGTCAAGACCTCGTTCTTTTTCGAAACAAACATGGCTTGCCGCGGATATCGCATTAACATCCATTCTATATATATATATATATGCATTTAACTTACATACATCAAATACACATTAAAATCAACTATCGCCGAAAATGAGAAGGTAGATATTTGATTTAGAAATGCTAGAGGAATAGGAAGATTAGAAATTAATTTGGCAGCTATGAAACAAATTCCTTATGTGATTATTCTGCGTTACTATAGTATTTCTTTTTCTATTCGAATTTTACTCACTACATTTTATACCCGCTCTGCCTCTTATCGCTTAATATAAAGCAATACGAGTAGTAAGAATAATGCGTCAAGGATATGGGAGAATGATAACTCGCAGGACAGTCATTACGTCAGAGTCCGAGAGATGACAGAATTTTGAATCAAGATTCAAACGACCTCGCCCATTCACGAGAAAGTACAACTCATGCAGCACGTTCACATAAAATCCTATATACCGGCGTCTCGTTTAGCTTACCCTGTCCGATTGGGCATTCTTCTTGGAATTCCAGCAGAACTCGAGGATCGCCACCAGGATCGCTAGCGCCAGGCCGCAGAGCAGCACGACGAAGACACCACCTGAAATGACGAAACCGAAAGCTCATTATTTCAAATGTCGGCGCGAGGCCGCTCGTCCTTCTCTAATTTCATCGCGAACGAAACGCCGTTGGCGGGCCACGAAGTACGACGTGGCGTGTTTGTACCTCATCTCGAACTCTCTCCGTGACTTCTTCATCCCCTCCCCTCTTCAGCCACCCTTTGTGGCACTAGTTTGTCGAGGAGCAGAGAGAGGAGGAAAAAAGTACAGCGAAAAGAAAAAAGGCTCGCAGCGGCGGCGGTCGCGGAAAATCGTGCGCGCAATATCTAAGTGGAGCGTGCACTCTCAGATCGATCGCGTTATACTTTTTGGTCCGGGAAAACTTTGCGATGGAGTATTCGCGGGTAACGACCGTGAGTAGGGCGTGCGTGGAAACGTATATACTGATAAATGGCGAGGTGCTTGTATTTATTGCGATGCGAGAGTCGTGCGAAAACAGTGAACTCGGGAGCGATATTTACGCTCGGTACGAAGTTTAGCTTACCCCCGATAGAAAGGATGGGAAGTATGCGGAAGTTCAAGAGAGCGTTGCATTCGGAATTAACGGCTGTTTCTACAAAGATTCGTGAGATTATTCCGTAAAATCGGAACTTTCTGATACGAGTCGTGAATTGATATATGCTAGTTACTTATACGTTGTTACGTTCCACTTATTTCTTCAAGTAAAATACAGTCGATATTTATATTCCGTGTAATTATTAGTTATAATAATAATTGAAAACATTTGTGAAGGATTAAGAGAATTTCTTATATTTATTTTCCATATTTTATTTAGGAGCTAATAAATTTAATGAGTAAATAGCGGGATATAAAGTGTAGGGTTAGATATATATATAAATTTGGGCAAACTACTTTGGTAAACACTTGAACTTTCTCGTCAATATTTCTCTGTACGTGATCAAAGATGAATTTCCACTTTATTGGTCGAAAATACGGTGCGCGGAGTTCGTTTCCATGCGCAGTCAGCAAATTCGCCTTTGGCAAACTTCTCAATTTCTCTCATGCAGAGCTCATACTGAGTTATTACCAATTAATCACTGCAGTATGCCGTTATTGTTATAATACCATAATTTTTACTAAATTATTCTTTTATATGTTTTTATATATACATATATATTTACATATATTTTATTTATATATACATATAAATCTATATATGATATATTATTTATATTATTTTCAAATAATTATAAATAGTTAAATTACTTCTAATTGTATAAAACCTAGTTACTCTAATTTATATGATATAATCAAACATTAGTAACAAGACAGATAGAATTTGTGAAATATTCTAATTTACATGACATAAATAAACGTTAGTAACAACAAGACAGATAGAATTTGTGAAATATTCGCTTATGGTGGCAAACATTTTTTATCCGTGAAACTTTTAGCTCTGTATTTCGAGCCGGGAGAAAGAATGAGGAACAAAGTATGTAGAATGGAGGCGCTTTTGAACAGGCTAAAAAGTGTCCACTTATCGTTGACGGCAAGACAACTGAGCCGGGATCTCGGGAGGATGCAAAGTAGATTTGCATAACTACACCGCTGTGATTTATGACGACAGTCCGGACGTCTCGCCGGAAGGACGAAAGTTTCTCGCGCGGGCGCCTGGATATCACCGGGGCTTCACGCCTATTTCGCGAAACGATATCAAGAGAGCTGCGCCCGGCGAAGAGGTCGCGCGACATTGTACGCCTACAGGTCGATCCAAGTTTCGCAGCGGGAAGTTCTGTTCGCCGAGTTACAGGATATATGCCCAAGTTTTCCGTAGGACGGCGGACTCCTCGCCAAAACACTTGGGCACGAACCGAGAATTATCCGGAGCTCATCGTTCTCGAAGAGATTCTCTCGCTAATTCGGAAACTCACGGAGTTAGCGATGTTCTAAGACAAATGAGCGAATGAAGAGAATGCAAGGTCGCGCTAAGTGGATTCGAGCGAATTTCCGATATTATCATCTTAACGCTATTGGGATACGTTTATCAATTTTGCTTCATTGATCAATGAATACGATATACAGGAAAATATAGCCCTAGATACATCGTTATTGTGTTATTATAAACACATTACATAATTTTTTACACAGTTTAAAATCAGTTAACTTTGATTTCACTTGAACTTTCATTTATTTTTATCTTTTTACTTTAAAGCCACCACAAAGAATCAGTGCAGTTTAACTTTTCTGTTCTTTTTTATTTTAGTTCAAGAAAATATAATTTGAAGTTGTAGCAACTAACGTTAATCAAACTTAGTTGGTGGTTTTATATAATCTTGTTTTATTCCTTTCGTTATTTTTATATATTACATTATAACTAAAATTGAATATAAGTATTTATTAATAATTAATATAAGTAATTTTTATTAAATAATTATTTAACATTCTATACAAATTCTAATTATTAATAATCGCTGGTTGTTCAATTTTAATTATCAAATTTAATTATGGTGATTAATTTTTATATTAAAAATTATGAGAGACATTTATTATAATTAAATTTAATATTAATTTTAAATAATCATAAGGCTGGACGAACAAGTTATGTTTCATAAAAAGATTTCCTACATTTTTAAAGCTTTCGACAAGATGAAAAAAAAGAAGTCAATCTAATTTCACATTTCTGTCTCAATTATTTTAAGACATACTGAAAAGAAAGAGCTTTCTTTTCTCGGAGATGGTACTCGACTGATACTGGATGAACTGCTTATTCTTATAAAATAGCACGATAAAGGTCAGTCGACAACGATCGCTTTTTTCCACGGCAAATAATCAAGAGACATTGGAAAGAACGGAAATTAGCAATTCAACTGTAATTTCGCGAGATTTTTGCGTCTCGCCATTGAGTTCGTTCTTCGCTCTGTCTTGTTGAGTACATTTACACCGTCGGCAAAATGGGTACTTATCCAAGTTACAAGGCGGCGAAGAAACGGCGATGAGGAAAGGGAGGCAAAGTAGGTAGATAGCCCGAGAGTTTCCACGAGTGGAGGGAGGGAAAAAAAGAAAGAGCCGAATCAAAGCGGGGAGAGAGAAAGAAGGAACTTGTTGTGACTTCCATAAAAATCCGGAAGCGGTTTTCGAAGAGTCCTAAGAAAAATTTTTCCGCGAACTTTACGCGAAATTCCGTCGCGCCTGAGAGCCTTCTCTCTTCTTCAATTCTCTGTCCACTCTGAATCTCGCTATTCTCTATATTAACTTTCTTAGCTCTGACTGAGATAACTATAATATTTGTATGCAATCTGTCCGCGTATAAAGATTTCGATATTTGTTTACTTTGACATCTCTAACAAATTTAATTTGTAAGATTTACTTTGTAGGCGTGTACAAGAAAAATATTAAATTTACGACAAATATTAATTCAGATTGTTCAAAGATGAACAGCTATAAATATATGGCTTTTTGTGATATTTTATGCGAAAAATTTGCGTATTATAATTTATTCCTTTTCTGTGAATAGTTTACAGAGTTATCGTATCTCTAGATTTCCGCTCTATTGATTTATACTGCTGTACAACGAGATGTCTGTCTACAACTTTTTTAGCCGTGCTGCACGACGTGAGAGTTGTAAAGCGAACAAAATGTTTCATAGTTGAAATGACTGAAACTTAAAACAGACATGCGGAGCACGCGGAAGTTATGACTATTAAATATATCCCTTTTGTCTGCGTACATATGAAATGTGTCGCCAATAGGACATATCGCAGCTGTGACAGAGATTTATAGCATGCAAATATAACTTACAGGTTGCATTACTATCCAAATTTGTTGTGTTATGATTGAAATTATGGCTGCGAGTGAAATATAGCTTCATAAACTCGTTTTGCGATTGAATGTATTCATACGCGCGAATCGGTAGTCTGGATAAACTTGATAACTTAATTGATTAAGCAGTTATTCAAATATCGTGAAAGGGTCGTTCAAAGCAGTTTCGGCATTCAATTTAATGAAAATTAATCAATCCGAAATCCTTCGATATATTCTGTTACGCAATCCATATGAAAATGAACTTTTGCTTTAATTTATATAATATAATATAAATATATTTACGTGAAAATTTAAAAATGTGAAATAATTTTCTTATACTCCCTTTAAGTAAAGCTTAATTTCTTTTGTTGTTTCTGTCTGTTATTTTGACTGATAAAGAAAATATGATTGTGGATAAACATACCAATATTTTCAACTCCGAGGGCATTGGCTTTGCTCTCCTTATTCTTGTCGTCTCTGTTGCACACATCGCCCGTATTTTTCCACCATTTATCATAGAGGATCTGTATTACACCTTTTTCCTGCAGCTCCAGAATAACTAGAGATATTTTATCCCTCCAGGGCGAACCTGCATATAAAAAGCCTTCGTTAGGCTGGCCAAGGATTTCGCAATTTCTACCTCTGCAGCATAATCTCGAACATAATTTTGCCGTTGCATGTCGAGAATATGTCGGATATACATATTATTAAATAATATACGTATTTTAAATATATGCGGTTTAGAATATCTTCAAATTTTTTCCTGCTTCAAGATGGAAGTACATAATCTTTTCCGTATAATTTTAAATTAACTGTATAAGCTTCTTTTTACGTACAAAGACTGCACGTTTGGACTATTTATTCTATGTTGGCTGGTAAGGAAGTTGATTTTCCTTTAGCAGAAATTTAATTGGATACCATCTGTTTCAGAAACTTATTAGCTTTCAATATTAAATACGTTGGTAATTACTTTCCAAATTTTCTATTCATTGCTATTTTTACTCATATTTACCTTTTGGAGTAGCAATTCCATATCCTTTGCTGTCTAACAAGCCCCCTATTTGTGTCAGATTGCAATCGCGTTGAACTGCGTAATCGAGCATAGTCGACTCCATTAAAAATGCATAGTCGCCTTCCAGAACCCTCTTCACTCCTTCCTCATAGGTTTGAACGAACACAGACGGGCTCTTCGATTCCATAAATCTCCACATTTTTTGGTAGATTCCAATTTTTGAATCCTGCGATTAAATTATTTAGTGCAAATTATTTAATTGTCTAACGCTTTGTATTCAATTTTGTGTTTTATACTCCACAGTTTTTGATGGAAAAATTTTAATTAAAAATCAATTTAAAAAACGTGAAAAACTAAAAAATGAGAAGTGTATATCGTATTGAAAGAATCGTTGATCTCTTATCCGCGAATTAGTATCAGATGTCTTTATTAAGAAAATGGTCAAGGCTTTAACGTTGTCAATATTTAAGTTGGATTCAGAAATTTTTTGCTCATTACTTTGCTAACTAATTTGCTCATCTTTCTGAAGGAAAAACAGGTCAGAGGAAACGGCAATTACAGAAACAGTATTTTTGTTTAACGAATGTAGTTTCCTGTTAAAACATTATAGAATAATATGCGGTATTTTTAAAAATATATTACGAATTAATTATCTATATGACGTCAGTAAATTTATATGAAATATAAATACATCTTTTTATTTTGGAGAGCGTAAATGTACTTAATTCGAGCACTTTATATTTATAAATATATATATACATATATATATATATATATATGTATATTTATGTAAAAGGTTATTAAATTTCTGTTAATTTAAAGATTGATATCATATTATGTTCATTATGATTTATTATTATTTTAATATTAAATTTACATTTTAAGACTTTAATTTATTATACTTTTTAAAAATATATTATACTATATTACTATAATAAGAGGACGAGGAATATGAAAATTATTATATAATAAAACATATAAAAAGAAAATTTTTAATATTTAAATATAATAACTATATATTGACAACTTAAAATATGCTATTAAATTGCACAGAAAATGTGAAAGCAATTCTGTGATTTTCTACACACTTACTCTGAAGAACGTCTTCGTACTTCCACCCTCTAAAGTGCCGTAAGATATCTCGGTTTGTTCCGCGAGATCAGCTACATTCTCGATCGGCGTTATCATCCTCTCCACCGTTAGGAAAGCGGCCAAATTCGCAGTATAAGAGGAGATGATGATTAACGTGAAGAACCACCAAATGCCGCCTACTATTCTTGTACTGGTTGCCTAATAACGAGGATTTATTCCGTATTTTCTTAATTTATCTCGAATAATCGCAATAAATTTCTTATTTAACAAGTCCATGGGCATTCTAATTTGACGACATCAAATTATTCGGAAATTACTTTCAAATTAAATTCTGCTTTGCAAATGTTATTAATTTAGTCTAAATTTATTATTTCTTTATACATATAAACCTCATTAATGAAAACATTGAGATTCGTTAGTCGATTAAATAGTTTAGAGAATATAAATTTTTACGAATAAGAATACTTATCCATTTTTACATTCTCTCTAATTTTTTATAATTTTATGCATTTTTAAACAATTAGGTGATATCAGTACAATGTATTTTTGTGTGCTCTCCAGACAACGGAAGTATCAATCAAGTCAATAGTAATGGAAATCAAATTGTTGAAAAAACATGAGGGAAATAGCTGTTTAAAACTTTGGTGAGATTTCTCTTGTGTAAATCTTCTAGTGATACACTTGCCCTGCAAGGCAGATACTTTTCGCCTCTATAAGGATCTAAAGATCGAAAATCCATCAGAGCATATCAAGATGACGAGGTCGATTTAAGGCCGTTATCCTGGTGAAAAATTCCTAGCAGCGGTTGAAGAATGCAATACGGGATCTCATTTAGAATTCGCCGCCAGGATATTTCGATCCATTAATGGCGAGGCCGACGATCGCGGAAACGATTGTCAAATGTAGAACACCCATGAATGATTCTCTCATTCTCCGGTATTACGCGGCGCGCCTGCCTCTCGGGAATTGAGCGAACGATTTTAATTCTACCGCGCGGTAATATCCCGCGAAAGAGTTTACACGGTGTAATCCACGTTATTCAGAATGCGTAATGAATGTGTTTAATTCGTATGCCGACTTCTGCTATCCGTGTTTCGTCAAGTGGTTTTTACGTGGAATGGCTCTTTTGGTAGCGACACGCTTGAGCGTATATCTATATCGATGGGAGAAAATTTTTTCGCGCGTGCATAATATTACGCGCATATGTATAGATATCTGCGCCCGTACGCGCAAGAAATTTAAAGCGTAAAGTATGCATATTATTATTTGCAATATTACATTCTCTCTTGCTCGGAATGCTCAAACCGCGACTCTCGGTAACCGACACATCTGGCTGACGTGAAGCATAATTTCCCGACACTCGAGACAGTCGCAACGACAACCCCGCATGTACATACGTGCCACCAGAGTCAATTGGCATTACATTATGTAGCATAGATATTTACGTCTTCATATGTGAGTCTACTCTTCAGATGGTTTATACGTGAAGTTTTCATTCTCTCCTATTTATAGGATAGAATTTAGGATATTTATTGAGTGAATTTTTCAAAGTATTTTTATGTGTACAAGCGTGCAATACAGCGACCTAAGATTTATTTAAATATATGCTAATAAGCGTATACAATTATACAACGAGAAATTGATTTAGCATGAGAAATCGATTAATAGTGGATCTAAGTCTACATGCTTAGCAATATCTTAAGCCGGATTCACAGATTAAGCAAACGAGCGCGAACAAACATGAATAATTCACTACTCGCGAAGCTGTTCATTCGCATTTATCCGTGCTCATTTGCTTGATCTGTGTGATTCAGCTTTATACAAATCTATGTGATTCAGCTTTATACAAATATTTTCGCATGTTTAAAATAACATTATTTTGTTCGCTTTTCATTTGGAACGGGAATATATTATAAAATCCGTATGTCATATATGAGTGAGAAACTTCGTGTTCGGTGCATATCAAAAAACATATTTCGTGATTTGTAAGTTGAAATGAGCTGACGTTATGTCGCGATGATTTAACAATATGATAAACGAACCAATATTTGATACAAGATGACATCTTACTAATGAAGTTATTATTCGTGTTTTAGGTATCCGTATTTATTAAATCCTATTTTTACTTTTATTCAAAACAAACTCGTCTAAAAGAGCAGTTTACGCTTGAATCAAATAATTAATAATCGCCGCGAATAATTAATAATTTAATGTAGGATAACAGGATTTAAAAAACTAAAATCATCCATTTGATTAAATATTACACCTCAGTACGTGTATTATCTGCTATTTATCTAAATTTTAGGTAGCTTAGTCTGGCGATATCTCGCAACAGGTATATTAAATACAATATATGATGCGTATATAGCTAATGCTCTAGTAATTGCTTTTGCCAATAATAATAGAAACGGATGACGGGGACGCGGAAATTCGTGAGGTATCACGGCGAACATTCCCAGGCGAGATGCTGTTGAGGACATGTAATTGTTTTCACGTGCATCGCTGCTTAGTGTAAACAAAACCTCCTTTCTACCGTGCTGTTGGCATTGTTAGGGAAACAACACCGACGCGAATCTCGCCGTGAAACCTCGCGAATTTCTATGCTCTACAACAGATGACCACATAAGCAGCATGCATCTATGCTGCTGTGTTTCTAAGAAATTTTTGAAAGCAGCAATTAGCATTTGGGGCAGATAAATATTGCAATGCAATATCTATTTTTTTTTTAGAATCAGTATCGTAAAAGGTAACTGAAATGGTTAACACGCTATTATGCAATAGACATCCATATGTCTTCAAGATAATTCGTAAAATATAAACCGCAATCTATTTGCAAACAAATATAATTTTCTAAATATTTTGTTTTATTTTATGTAACAATAAATCGACAAGAATTATAACACATCTAAAATGTTCTATCTACTAGTTCTACTTTTTAGTAACGCTTTCTTGCTTTTATGTGACATGAAATATGGAGCAAGAAGTTTGGAAAACACCGTTCCATGCTGCGGGAGGAATATCCGCAGTAGTCATTCGCGTAAAAGTAAAGAATTGAACGAGAATTTACCAGAAGCTACTTTTATATCACGCTTTTTTTGCATATAAAGTTTGTTGCTCTTTAATCCATTTTAACATTGGTTCGAGGAAACAAAATTTCAAAGAACTTAATCGATTATTATTTTTATGAAAATGTTATATATCTTGATGTTAAAAATACGGAGAAAAATTATTATTCTAATGTAAATTATACGCTTTAATTGCAAATATATAAACTATCATACAAAATAATATCGTATAGTATAAAACAAATATAAATTAGCATAAAATAAAATAAAACTAATATGAGAATTACTGCAATGAAAATATGTCATTTGATATTTTAGATAATTATTGAAACTAATAAAAAATTGCTATAATAACATGGACATGAGAAATTTAAAAGCATTTGACTTATATGTGCATGCAGGGCTGATATTCATTTTTCAGATTAACTTTTTTATACATACTCATTATTATCAATTATATAATAATTTTTTAAACTACTGTGCTTGCTCTTTAAGTTTCATTCTCAACAGAAAGACAAAGCTTGATCAAAATTAGACTCATAGACATAATTAATAAT